CCCAAACAAGAATCTGACAAATCAATTGCAACTCCAAGGGCCTCACAAGAAAATGAAAATGGCTGGCATTTGTCGCCATCCTCCGCAAAACTCCAACCCAAGAGCCGGAAAAGTGCATAGTTGGACTCAAATTACGTTTAGTTCCTTTTCGGTGATGCTTTCGGCACCATGAGACATAGCAATTTGTCCAATGGAGCGTGCTCCGCTGACAACTGTTGAACTCTGTCAGTTTGACAGTTCACATGCAAATGACCGATTCCCTTTCTTTTTTCCCCAGCAGCGTAAACTAATGGGGTCTTCAGCCCAGAATAGCTCCGGTGTGCACTGGTGCAGGCGGCGGGTCAAGTTCTGCATTCCCTCTGTTTCACAGACAAGGACCGTGCCACAGAGCATAAACGGCCAAACCGGAAAAAAAAACCTTGAAAAGCTGGCACAGTTGGAAATGAGCAATGCAGAAGATGGAGTGACGCTTGGAACAGTAAACGTGAAAGATGCATTTCTGATGGTTGATCAACCAACCCCGTTACGGGTGCAACTTCCTTTTGGAAACCTCATTGTGTTGAAGAACTTACCAGGTCAACGTCTAGGTGCAAAGTGCTGGTGCTGGCATTTCAGAGTTTTTTTTGGCTTTAACTTTCAACATGGAGTGGTGCCCAGAACAACCATGCTTGTGCAAGAACAGTGAATGTGCGTTGATGATCCATGTGGATGACGTGGTGCTCTGTGGTAGCACAAAGTATTGGAACGAAGTTTTTCTGAAGAAGCTTGGTGAAAAGTACACTTTCAATGCCACAGCGCTTGGTGACGTTGGCAGCTCAATCAGTCTTTTGAAGCGTAAGCTGGTGAGACTTCCTCATGGCCTTGCGCTGGTTCCAGGTACAGATGTGAACAAGGCGATTCAGTTGTTTGAACAAAGTTTTGGACGTGCCAATGCAATCCAAATGGAGGACCTATCAAGCCCACTTTCCAATGAAGAAGCCTTCCACTATCGATCAGTGGTAGGTATGCTGCTTTATCTTGCGCGAGACAGACCAGGTTTGCTTTTTGTAATGAAAGAATTTTCACAGAAAATGAGGTGCCCAACAACAGTTGCAGCGCAGAGACTTCAAAAGGTGATTGGCTACTTGCGCAGCACAGGTGACTTCGCAGTTGTGCTGGAGAAACCAATAGCTGGCCATGGACGTTGCAAGTCCACAGATGAGAAGGTTTGGATCCTTGAACCTTTCAGTGATGCAGATTGGAGTTCCAACCGTGTGCATCGACGTTCGACGTCATGTGGGATCCACTTGCTGAATGGTTAGATGGTCTCTGGAAGTAGCAGGACACAATGTGTCATATCACTTTCTTCGTGCGAGTCAGAGTTGCACAGCCTGGTGTCAACACTTTGTGATGGGGTGTGCATCAGACGATGCTTTGAGTTTGTTGTTGGTGCTTCAATACAGCATGTCTTGCTGACACACTCGTCCAGCGCGAGACGTCTGGTAAACCGCCAGGGAACAGGAAAGCTGAAGCATGTGGATGGCAAAATCTTGTGGATACAAGAACATGTGAGACAAGGCAGCGTTTGCACATGTCAGGTTTCTACAGTTTGGAACGTGGCAGACTTGAGAACAAAGGCGTTGGCAAAGCAACGTGTCATGCTGTTGCTACATGACGTTGGAGTTCATGCAGAGTTTGGCCAGAGACAGGTTGGCCAGGAGGAGTTTGACCACCAATGGTCAAAGCATGGTGAAGGCAGACAACTCAGCAAGCTGGCAAAAGCAGTTACCAGGATAATCCTAGTTATGGGCCTTGAGCCTACTGCTGGTGCGGAGATTTTTGGAAATGATGGAGAACAATGCGACATTAGTGCTTCGCCGGATGATGCAGGCGAAGAACATTCCTGGATTTTCTTTTGGATGCTGGTTTTGGGATTACTATGGCTTGGCTTGGTGATTGCTGCAGTGAAATTTGTGCAATGGACACGAGAAGAACTTCGACAACATGCATGGCAACTTGCAGATGCTGACAGGGCCTACATAGAGCATCAAAATTCCATTGACAGAACAGTGGAGCAAATGTCTGCGTTAGAAGGATGGGTGACTGGATTGGAAGGTCAGATCACAATGGTGAGTGACTATTCAGAGTCAGTGCGTCACGGCCTAGTTGAGCTAGGTGGCTTCACCAGGGTCACTGACCTTACTGCCGAGGAGAGAAGAGGGCTCTATGCAACATAGAGAACCAACTTGGTTGCCAGGAACGCTATGGGTTCCAACTACTATCTACGTGGGACTCGATAACAATTCCATGATCCAATGGGGGACAACACCGACAACGGTGATGAAGCAATGAAGGAGGAGGAGTCAGAAGAGTCAGAGGCTCCAGAGAATGACCCCTAAGTTTTGGCAGGCAGTTCGAGAGACAGACCCATGGGTGTATCAGTCATTTTGAATGATTTGACAACGCAGCTCAACAACGCGTTGGCGAGACTCATCAATCTTACAGTATTTGATGATGGACCTTCTGGACCTTAGCTACCAGAATGGCTATGAGAATCCTGAAAGGAGGAGACGATTCATTGAGCAATTGATCAGCAGGTTCGAGGAGATGACAAGTGACGCAAGGAGAAATGGACATTTGGATGTCGTCGCAACCTATGAAGTCCACTTGAAGCAATGGCGACAAATCCCAACAGGTTGGGTCAAGAGTCTCAGCTACATGACTCAAAGGAGGAGTACGAAAAGTTGGGAATAGCACTCATTCGTTGCATAGCATGTCAGTTTGATGCCATTTGATGTCAGTTGCAGACTTGTGGAGGATGACACGCACAAATTGAGAAACATTTCATTTTCACCATTACTTGCATGAAAATCATGTCAAGTCCATTACATGTGTGAGGCATTTGGCTTAGGAGTGAAAGGAGCGGTAGCTGCTACGCAAAATCAAACATCATTGAGAACAGAAATGAAGCACTGCTGATCTTGTGTGGTGAACGGTTTTGCTCAGAAAAAAATGTTCCAACGTGAGACCACGGTTTAAACGAACGAACATATTCGGTGCACATCGATTCAACGCATGGGAATTACAGAATGGTGCTTTGATTGTTCGGGCAATCCAGGTGTCTCAACATAAAATTGATATGCCAGGGCAAAAACAACCCATTGAATGTTTCCACGGCATTTGGCAGCTGAATCAGTTGTTACTGTTTGAGTCGGACCACCCAATGATAATGCTGTCAAAAAATCAGCAGGGTAAAGGCATGTGCTCACATATTTTACATCCAATGTTTCCAAAAGTTCTGTTTTTTTTTGGCTGCAGAACAACAGTCAGCGCGAAACAATCATTTGTCAAAATGCAACACGTGAAATCATTTTCAGAAATTGGTTGTATTGTAATTGCCACACATTTCAAAAATTAAAAATAAACAATCACCTGATGGAACACTTTGATTTTGACAATGGTTGAAGGTTGGAATCCAACATTTCATTGATTTTGACACGAAAACTTTGATAAAAACCGTGAGGACCTATGCCATGACTGGTCCAGTGCCGAAGTGCTGAGTGGGCTGCTGAATGCGTTGAAAAATCGTGCGGTTTCACGTTTTGTTTACATCCAAAACCCAAACAATGGCAGCTTCGCAGCTGGAATTTATTATTTTGATTTCAAAACAACAAATGAGAACAGACAAGTGGCCGTCCCCTTGTTTTGGGCAATGGTTATCAATGTCTACCCAAACAATGAAATCAACAATTGGGTGGTTGCACCTTATACGTTGTGCCGCGTGAGGCATTTCTAAACTTGGACACCCCTCCGAATTTCGCTTGCAAAGAAAACAATGAATATGGCGGAAACAACACATAATTACTTGACAAAAACATGTCAAAAGCGATGATGTGGCGTTTGTGCATCCAGGCTCTTGGTACTTGTGATCATTCACACCACCGAGGCAGGTTTGTTTCTGGGAATAAATATGCAACCAACCCCTGGACCATCTGTGGCCATTGAAAGAGGTTTTCGGGAATTGCAGAACGGAAACAAAATGGTTCTGTGGGTTTTGCACATCATGTTTCTGTTGTTTTTGGTAGAGACGTGCAGCAATCAACTACAATTTTGGTTGTGATGTTGGGAATCTTTGCATCGGCATTTTGAAACAAGGCATGAAGTCATAAAGGTCAATAATACGCATACATCGTGCTGACAAATATACGATCCGATCATCCCAAAACCTACCCAATAGTACCCAATCAAAAACCACAAACCACAGTTTGGAATGTGTATATTATCGTGGACTCCGCCCATTCCGACCCAAACCACATCAAATTTTTGACCGTGCGCATACGTATGATCAACGATCCCGGACATTCCATGTTCAGTTCTTGCCACACATGGCCATGAAAAATGTACCACTTTCGTCTAATTTCAATCTTTGGATCGTGTGACCCTTCAACTGCACAAGAGGTGGCAATTGTGTTGCAAAACCACCTTTTTTTTTTGTGGGTACACAAAGTATTTGCTGTCAAAAAAAAACAGATTGCCAAATATATTTCAACATCTCCAGATGGGTCATTGTGAATGTCACTGGCTGTTCCATTTGGGGTAGCCCATAATCCCTCAAAAAAAGAAACAGATGTGACATAATCGGGTAGACAAAATGATTTTGCCCTTTCATTTGGGGATGGTTAGATCCACAGGGGATGGTTAGTTCCTGGCCAGGACATGCTCGAGGCGCATTGCATGGCTGGGAGATCAGTTTAGGTTAGCGGAGCGAAATTAGGAGATCCATTTGATGGCTAACGCCGCTTCATGTTTTGGTTGTGCTAAAATTGCCAAAAACTGAAATTTGTTGTTTCTGGAAATGTGCATCCAAACATTCCACAGCTTGAAGAGCCGTTTAGCAAGAAGGCGCGCAAGAGGCATATGATCCTGTTCAAATAACATGGTGTCTTTTTCAATACACTCCAAACCAAAGGATCATTGGTTTTCTACGAAATTTGAACCAAAAGCAACACTTGGAAGGAGATTGAACTATTGCGTTTGGTCAAGAGAGCCATGCCTGATGTGGTGTCCCGAGCTATCATTTGTGCCATTTCAGAGTACGAACATTGGCAGAAATTGCCTGGAGCTCAGATTGACGCCGAACTTGGTCTACATGTGCTTTCCGATGATTTAGATGCCAGCGCGGTCACCACAATAATGGCAGGGCGTGTCACACATGATGACTTGGAGCGTGGTTTCAGGGAAGTAATCCAAGATCTGGAATGTTCAGAGGAAGAATTCCCAGTCCTTGTGGTTCTGGTTTCGTGCCATGCTGTGCATGTGGACGAGAAGATCTTTCCTCAACTCATTCCGTCAGACTCACCAATTGCAATTGGGGGGGAAGTTGCGACCGCTGCCTTTGATATTGAAGAACATTTTTTCAATCCTCTCAAAAACTTGAGATTTCGCTCTCCAAAGGCCAAAAGGCTTCGAGTTGTCATGGTTTTTGATTGCTGTCGACAAGACTTGTCCAATTCCCAGGATGTCCCCAGAGGCTTGCGCAACCTTTTACCAAGATTAAAACATGATTTCTATATTATATGTTCCTGTGACCAGGGCAGTCAATCCTTCGAAAGAGCTGAAAGTGGTGGAGCATTGATGAGCGTGCTCTTACCATCATTAAAGTATGCCAAGAACATTTGCGACGTTTTTGCTGATGCCAGTTGCCGTGTGACGCGTCAAAGACCCAATGAGTATTATCGTCGAGGGAACAACGTCCCTGTTTTAGGGTCTCTCCCAGACAACCCACCTGGTTGGGTATTGAGCGAGAAGGATGAATTGGGTGATGATTTTAGGCAGGTTTCACTGGTTGTACTTTCTGGAATCACGGGTCATGGCAAGAGTACTTTGGGCAATGCAATCACCCAGAACGAGAGCTTCAAGGTTCCTGAAGTGGGCGCAGGCCTGTCTTCCGAAACAAAGTCAGTCAAGCATGAGGACATTGAATTGGACGCAAAAAAGTACAGGATCATTGACACTCCTGGTTTCAACAATACACATCTCTCCATGGAAGAAATTTGGACACGATTTTCAGGATTTGCTGATTTAGCGCCTGCTGGAATCGACGTGTTTCTACACGTAGTGGAGTGGGGACCTTTCACCGAAGAGAAAAGCAGAGCGCTAAAGTGCTTGCAGGAGATAGCAGGAGAGGAATGCAATGAACATGTCCTGCTTGTGTTTTCCAGAGCTCCTCCTGATTTTCATCGCCGGATTGTTGAGGAAAGTGAAAGAAACAGTAACCTGAAAGAGGCCCTTGGTACTGTGGGCAGTTTTACAGCTGTCAATTGTCAAACGTTGGCAGAAATGAAGAAGGCACATGAGACAATTACGGCGGCAGTGCAGTTCCTGATTGAGAAGAATGGAAAGAAGTACAGTAACGACCTGGTCAAAATAGCAAAGACAAATCGAATACAGCTGGTCAACCTGATGAAGCAGTTGAATGAATCTGATGCATGTGAAGTGCAGACACTAATCAGTCAGGTATACACCGGCAGTCTTAGTTCCGCGAAGGCGCTGGATCTTGCAACAGAAAAATTAGCACAGCAGCAGAGTCAACTGCAACAACCCCAACCTCCCAGCGTACAAGTCTCGAACTCTGAGGGCGCACAGGTGACCCGAGAGCGTTTGAAGGAAGCCGTGGTCCGAACAGTTCCTTTGATGAGGAGTATTGGTGCCTGTGGGCAAGCTCTCGCAGATGCACATGGTGGCCCAACTGGACAAGACTTCATGTATGGGTGGTGGGGCAGTCTGGGCCATGTGGAATCTTTGTTGTCCCACCAGCATGAAGAAAAACAGAAAGAAGACCGACTAAAGGCAATGGGCTTTTCAGAGGACCGTGTACGTTCAGCCCTGGATGAAGCTAGAGGAGACTTTGACGCAGCTCTTGAGCTCCTTTTGACTGAAGACAGGTAGATATTGGGCTGGCGCTTCTCAGCAAGAACTTTCCCTCCGCCAAAGTGCACCGATTTGTACAACATGTATTTTTGCCAGTGGAATGACCAAAGCGTTCTTTCCAATCATCCTATATCCGAAAGTCGCTGCGCCAAGGGTATCGACAGATGTGCCAATTTGTAGCTTTATTATCCTTTATTGAGAAACCCAACTGGACCCAAATGAAGAAAAACAAATTGAATTTGAAGCAGTAAGCACAAAAGCCTGCTGCGCAAACAACAGGTTTTCAAATGCACTCGGATTCGCGCCTAGGCTACAACTCCCTGCTGTTTTTCGTCGGCGGCAAGCCTTGCCAATGAACTCGATCTCTTAGGCCTAAGTTGTCCTTGGTGGGGTTGTGGTGGTGAAGAGCAGGGGTTTCCACTAGACCTTTTGGCAACAGTTTGTAAGTAGCGGAAGAGGAGAACCGACTTCTCGTGCCAGCATTATTTGTGTGAAATGCCTGATCAACGTTCCGTTTCTGTGTTAAATATTCCTCACAGCTTACGCTTGGAAACTGACGGAATGGCTAGCTTTCTGGCCACAGCCATCATGGTCAGATCATCCCAAGATCGTGGTGGGAGAAGCAAGAGCGGTCGAAGAGGGTGGGCCTACAAAGGTGCGCAGCCTTTGTGTGCGGCCCAACGTGTCATGACTCATAGATGTCAAGGGTGGCTTCTAGGAAACTAGAGTGGAAACAAGTAGTTGGTGCAGGCTACGACGACACCATGTCACGCGCTGCTTGGGTGTGTGTGTGTTTCCATGTTTCGATGTATCCGGTGAAGTGGAGTTTCCGAACAGTTTCCACAGAACTTTAGAAACACGTCAAGAAGGACAGTCCCCAAGAGAAGAGGCTCACAATTTGCACCAGAGTTTTTCCAGTGCAGCCAGATATGGTATATTATATATATATATTAATATATTGATTTGATATCATTAGGTTTCTAACTACTAGGACCTGGAAGAACCCAAGAGTTGCTTCGGACTACAACCAACCATTTTATAGGTCTGGTACGGTCCATTGTGGTGAACATCCTATCATTCCGACGTCTCCCGCGCCCCTCTTGGCTCGGTAGAGGGCACTGGTTCTTTCCGCCACCGGGCGCCACCGGGAGCGGCCTGCCGCCATGGCAAGCGAGGAACCAGATGCTGGTGAGCCCGATGTCACTGGGATTTGCAGCTGAGGTCATGGGTCAAAGCTGGTGCCCCTAAAAATGGGATGGTTATACCATGTTATACAGAGTTATACCATGTTATACCATGAACATCTCCGGGTCCAAGGGACTATGCATCTTGGGCTATTTATTTCTTGAAGACTTCAAGAAATGCATCCCCTTTTGACACATTTTGCGTCGGAGACTTCGCCGGGAACATCGTTTGAACAGCTTCACAATCTTTGCATGCTCTTCATGATCCTTCATTGGGTTGCCTCAAGATGCACGCAAGGAGGGTCTCAAGGCCAAAATTCACACATACCCCTTATTTGGCGGAGTTTTCGTTTTTTCTCACTGGTTGAATCATCTTGAATCCACGAACTTGGAGCTCCCAAGGTGCACAGCCTCATCGCTGCTGCTGGAGACGCTGCGGGCATTGCAGAGGTGCAAGCCGGTGGAGGTGCCAACGGAGCTTAGGGGTGGTTCCATGTGGATGGGACAGAAGATGACAGAAGAACCTGGGCCTTCACCGAATTCCTGCGGGTGGGTTGTTCTGTGACAAGGTTTGTTGAATTTCTATCAAATGAGACGATGACTCCACGCTGTCTTCTCACGTCGCATCATGAATTTCCGTGGTGAGTCATTGGCTGAGAGGAAGCGAAACCTGGACAAATGGCAATCTGGGCAAATGAAGGTCATGAGTCATGATTTTTTGTATATTTCAAAGGTGTCTCTCAAAAATTGGGGTCCATTGCTTTCCCCTATGAAAGACACACCAGCAACTTGGAACGATATGTTGGGGCCACCATGGTATAAGAAATCTGAAGACCCATCAGGTGGATGAACTTCTACTTGGAATTCTACTTGGAGTCCTAAGAAATCCCAGTGACTCAAGCCCCGCCCCAGATTTCTTGGGATTTCCATCAGGGTCCCAGCAACCGCTCCACAGGCCAAGTGGCAGCGGCAGAAGCAGCTGCAAGGGCTGTGGCGGCCTGGCTGCCGCTTGTGTTGGGGTGTACATATCTGTATATATCTATGTGTGTGTATATATATATGATAACATGTATAAACATTATAAACTTGTCTATAAACTTTCACTTTTGTGTGGGGCTGAGTTTGGTTGGGTAAGTCACCATTGTTGTGGGTGTCAAGATTCTCACTTCTTGCAGCAGCTGGGTCACAGCCAGTGGTTTTCTTTGGTTTTTGAGGTAAAGGCTGCTGAGGAGCATGGCGTGCTTTTGGCCGAGCTGCATGAGTCACTTGGTGCTGTGGTGGCTGAGACGGGTCGTGGCCGCGCTCTATTGGGGTGATTGATTTGAGGTTTTTGAGTTTTTGACGAGTTATTGGAGAGTTTTTGCCGACCCGAAACTGTTTCAAACTTGGCCTTGGAATCTTTCAAGTCGAACAGGTGTTGCTTCGAGTTGGGAGGGTCTCCCTGATCGTTGGTTTAGACCTCCGTTCTTGTTGATTAAATCACGTTGAATCACCATTTTTGCTCGTTAAAACCTCAATTTAAGTCTTGTGAAAACCTTTAGGAATGACTCAATTCTTGAGGTCTTGTGTCCAAGTGCTGGTTGATCCCCTAGTGATTGGATACCGAGGGTGATTGGCCTTAGTGCGGCCCGGAGTGCCATGCAAGCGGTCTCAGTGGAGGTGACGAGGGGGTGGCTGGTGGTTACTGTGGGGATTTTTCAACAAATCAGCGAGAAATACCCTCTGGTAATTTAACATAGCGAACTGGAAAATCACCATTTTTAATGGGAAAATCCACTATTTCTATGGCCATTTTCAATAGCAAACTGTTAGTTTACCAGAGGGTACTGAAATAGTCCCGAAGAAAAATCCATGAATCATGTTCCAGCAGTTGGAATTCACCGGGAGCCAACTGGAGTGATGATTCTCCTCGACATGCCGAAGAACCTTGCGGATTCACTGGTCTTCAAAAGAAATGCGAAGCCGATTTCAGGAGATCGTCATCTTTCTTCGAAGCATGGACCTAATGTGACCTAATCAGGAATCATCAGGAATCATCAGGAATCATCAGGAATCATCAGGAATCATCAGGAATCAATCCCTACACTTCCGCTCTGAGAAAGTGCACCTGCCGCCGTGAGGACCCCACGCTGACCATCTCGGAGATCGACGCTTGGAGAGCTGGATAGATTCGGATGCCCAAAACTGGAGGATCTGCCCCAACCTTGCAATTTTCATCAGGAACATAGAGGAACATGATGATATTCCATGATATTCCATGGGGGTTTTGGGGTACCCCATTTTCAGACAAACCCACGTGGATAGATGTCCTTTTCCTGTTGCTTGGTTGAAGAATTAGAGGGGTATAACACCTTGCTTTTTGGTGCTGATCCAAGGCGAGATGTTTAAGTCCCGACTCCATGGCGCAGCTGAAGGCCTTTGAATTTTTTCAAGGGTTTTAGATGTTCCCTGGAGTCTTGACTTGGATGCATCAAAAAAGTGAGTTTTTGCTTATTGATATTGGAACCGCTAGTTTTTTTAAAGTTTAAATCCTCTGGTTGCCTGGGTTTTGTCTACATGTGCAGGGGGAGACGCTGAGACGTACTGATCGCAACTCTGCAGCTTTTGGTGCTGCGAAGATCTGCGACGTATCTCCGGGAAGTTGATAGATCGTTGCAGGCCATTGCAACGTTCACCTCAATTTGTATTACCGTATTCTCTTGTTTGGAAATAATTGTGTAAACCGTTGTCCATTTGTATAGAAACAAATTTTGTGACCGGGGCTATCCACCTCAGACATTTGTGCCATCATGTGCACCACATTTTGCACTGGGTCTGGTGCGCCGCCCCATTTTGTGGCCAAGGTAGTGATAGGATAACACCCAATGAGCTGAAGAAGTGTCTTGTTGAGCACGGCGGGGAATGGAAAGCTGGGGTGTTTGAAAAAAAACATCAGGGGGATGCCTTAGCCAACGAAAACATGAAGTGAACCAGCATGAATAGGTACTCATACCCATGAATCAGGTTTGCACAGAAAATTAGTTACCAGCAAAAACTGGGAGCATTCCTAGATGATTTCCCAGCACAAATTCAAATAGGTTACTGTACATCTCCCATATTACATTTCCATTGTTGGTGAATGCTGAGGATCTTCAGGCAGATTGGCCTTGATCTCAATGACGATGCATGGCCACAGGCAGGGACCAAATTGTGTTGACGTGTTGGCCATGGTTGCCATGGTTGCCATGGTTGCCATGGTTGCCATGGTTGCCATGGTTGCCATGGTTGCCATGGTTGCCATGGTTTATCGCTTCTACATTCCCCAAATTTAACATCAATGGGGTATATATATGGTATACCCAATCATCAATCCAAATTGGGGATGGAGAAACAAATATCTATAAATCGTATATTTTATCTGGGTTACCAGATTATATATATATATATTTATATATATACGATTATATAATATAGCTAAATTTAGCATATTTCCAAGTTATGCCAAGTTCACAGGTGACACTTTGGAGCCACGACAGGTCTTCCAGGAGCTCGAGCGAGATTCGACGGGGCGAATCAGCCCCTCAGCTGTGGGATGACTGGGTTTCGGGCCTTTTTCCACCATGGGAAGATGATGGAAACCATAGCTGCCATAGCTTCCTGGTCCCCTCACTATGCTGAGACAAAACATGTCAAAACATGTTTGGTGATTTTCTCTGAAGATTCATGTTGGGTTTTTGATGACCTTAGACTGGTGGGAAGGAACTGGTGCAAGGGCATGTTTTTCTTGTGAGAAGCATGGAGAAAGGGATTTTTGCCTTGCATAAATAAGTGTAGCTGCTTTGGTAGCTCTGCAGTTTTGTTCGCTCTGACATCGAAACATTACACACGCTGTGAAGTTTCAGCTTAGTTTCTTGGTTCTTTGAAGCCAGTTTTTCGATCTTTTTCTTCTTTGCATGTCGTCACCAGTCTACCCACGAACCACTCCACTTCCAGCTTCAGTGGTTCAAAAGCGCCATGGATGTGGTCCGTTTCCACCTGCCTGAGGGCTCCACTCTGGAGCTTTCCAAGGCCCAGCTGGCGCAGGCTGCGTTCTTCGCACCCTTAGTGGATGAAGCTGGCACCATCGACTATGGCAGCAGTGAACTGCAGTGCCTGATGTCTCCTTTGTGCCCTGCAGCCAGGCAGGTGGTGCCCAGGTTGTTGAGATGGCTTGGATCTGGCGAAGATGATGAGATTTTCTCTGAGAAGTTCTTGTTGCACAGCTTCGCGGTGGCACATCTGCTGGGTGCCAGTGAGGTGATGGAAGCAGCGCGCAGGAGAGCTGCTTGCCATGAGGGACGACCCTTGGTGGGTGCCATTGCATCTATGGATGTCAAGGAGGATCGGGAGTCCCTGCGCACTGCTGCGGAGTATGGTTTGGATCGCTACAGCCCTATGGCTTTGGTCCATGCTGCCGCTGAGGCGGATGTGGCCGAAGTGGTAAGGATCTTGGTGTCGCTGGAAGATGGTGAACAGCCCAAGGAGCCCAGCAGTGTGGACTGCACTGTGGATGTGTTGGATGCCAAGGGCCGAACTGCCCTGCATGTGTGCGCCATCCGCGACAGTGCCAATGTGGCCAAGGTTCTTTTGGAGTTCTCTGCCAGTTTGACTGCTTTGTGTGATCCGCCTGAGATGGTGGAAGCGGAACACATTTGCTTGAGATTGAGGTTTCTGTTTTGTTGACCACTTATGCCACTTATCCACTTTGTATTGGGTAGTTTTCCATCATCCACTCATATTCTAAGTTTTTGCTGCCGACCAATGGGACCAACATCAGATTCACGTGACTCTTTGTTTCTCACCTGCTGCAAGGATGCTGAAGTGGATGAGAGCATTGCCCCCAGTGGCACGGCTGGCACGGCTGGCGCACCCCAGGGGTCAAAGTCCAAAGGTGTGCGGACACCTTTACATCTGGCAGCGTACCACGACAGCGCAGAAGTTCTTCAACTTCTGTTGGATGCCAGGGCCAACGTTGCCAGTTGTGTGAAAGGCGCGCTGCTTGGGAAGACTTCAGTGGTTGGAGCTTCAAGTGCATCTCTTTCAGTTTGACGCACCTTTACTTTCAGTATTCTACGTTCATACATCCGATTATTCAGACTCCTTATGTGCCCAAAAAGAAGCTTGCACTCGTCCTTTGACTTTTCGCAACTTCAGATGGTCATGGCTGGGACTTGGAGTATGAAAATGATTGCGCATTTGGTAAATGTATCATATAAATATATAAATAAGAGATACCTGCGTGTGTGAGTCTGGCGTGGGTGCCTGTATGGGTGAGATCTATGTGCGTGTGCGAGTCTGGTTTGCGTGCATGAGTGAGTCAGTTTCGTGTGCGACGGTGAGTTATGCCTGTGTGCGTCTGTGAGTCTGAGATGCGTGCGTGGATCAGGCGTTTACCTTTCACATCGCGGCAATGTTTCATTTTGTTTCAGTGGTCGCAACATGTCGGCTGTTGGGGAAGTTCGATGTTTGAATGGTTTGCAACTGTTTGGCAAAACATCAGTTGTTGTTTATACAGTCTTTAGGGACATTATTGTCCGTGGAATCTTTGGAAAAACAAGGGGGTTCAGGAACGTGAGTTTATGCTGCGAGGATACAAACACGTCTTTGTTTCAATTCTTTAGACACCAACTAGCCAACTTAACTAACTACCTCTCATATTGTTTTATATCGCAGGCCATGCCCACTACAGTCCTTTTGATTCTTGATATCATTTTGATATTTCTTTAATATGAAAAATATCCCCACGATGGGACTAAGTGACGTCCACCAACTTGCCACCTGCTCGGGGGTGCAGTTAAGGTTATAAATGTTTATCACAATGGTCGCAAAGATGTTTTTAAGCCGATAGCTTGGGATATATCCTTTCAAACTCAGCGGCTATGGATATACATGGATATACATCAACTATGGTTATTGAAGATATTTAATGCCAAGTTAGGATTAATAATCCCCGCGGTATTAATCAACCCCCTCTGCCCCCCCAAAAAAATGTAATTTAAAAAAAGGTGGTCCCCCAGGATTAATAAACCCCCCCGATTAAAAAACCACCAGTGCTGAAAGCATTTTTTTATCCAACAATGTTTATTTCCAATTCTATTTATTTCCAATTTGTTTTTACATTTTTTTAAATCATCATTGTTATACTTAAGGTTTAAGTTGATCATTGAAAAATTCAAAAAATGACTATTCCCCAAATGATCGCTTTCTAATTAAAATCTTTATAAAAATCATCAGTTTGGATAGCTCCCAAAGGGTATCCCCCATAAGCCCATGTCCCCCATTAATAATAACCATGGTTTGCCCCCGATTAATCAACCACCTTTCTGATCCATGAGATTTTAACAAATCCAATAGAATTCTATTAAGATCTAATTGACGTAAGCCATATCCAAATTTTTATGGTTCAGAGTTGCTTACTATTAAGGGGTGGTCGAGAAACTAGCCAGAAGGTACCCCCCTACCTACCAGGTGGGGGGGGTTGATTAATCCGATGTTGGCATTAAAGCATTTTAAAGCTTATTCCTTCTACAACTGATCTTTCTTCACTGGTTGATAACCCCAAAGTATGGCAGGCATCCCCGGTGCCCTGACCCCGCTGCACGAGTGCGCCACCTCTGACGCCCTGCGCTGCGCTGAGCTGCTGGCGCCCTTGGCGCGGGACGCCGCCACGGTGGCCTCGAGGCAGCTGGAAGAGGCGCTCAACGGCGCCATGGAGGTGGACCAACAGGTGGGGCATGGGGGAGGATGGGGGGGAATAGAAAACTCAACTTTTTTTTGCCAGAAAAAGTTGGAGAGTTGGAATGCCAAGACACCGGGATTGGGGAATTCTAACCAACTATATATGGTGAATTGTGATGTATGTTGACAATTTATGGCGTATATACTGTATAATATATATATATATACTGTATATATATTTATCTACCTCAACAATGGGATGAAATATATTTGTTATACATATTTGTTTGTTGGGATGGAATGAAGCCAACCACTGGTATATTATTTGTCACAACTTCGTTGTGGGGCAAAATTGACAACCCGCTCTGACTTGACATATGTTTACCATGTTCAACGCGCCACTGCCAGAAACCATTTTTGTGATGGTCCGCAATCTGGACCATGCTCAGATAGGTTGGCAAATCATTTTTTTTTCGCGCTGGATGGCAGACAAAGATTAGACGTGAAAACGTACATCCAATCCATCCATTGAAACGATACCAGCCTCCAGTCCTCAGGATTCAGCTGCCAACCCGACGGACGAGCCGCAAGATGTGAGTGAAGTTCAGTGGAGTCGATTTCTGGACCCACTGCAGGTGGGAGATCTCCAAACATTTCCCCAACAACACAATGTGTTCACTAGAACTGGTTCATCCTCATCCTCATTCAAAAAAGATCCTGCTTGTAGCCATCCTCACAGCCCCCATCCCCAACGGGTGCCCACCCATCAGCCTCCAGCACCAGGCCAAGTTGGGTCACCACGGCAGCAGCCCGTTGCACTTGGCCGCCGAAAGCGACAGCCCCGGTGTGGTCCGTGCGCTGCTGCGCTGCAACGCGGACCCACAGCTGGGGGATGACCAGGGCGACACGGCACTGCACTGCGCGGTGCTGTATGGGTCACCCAAGGTGGGGGCTGGTCATGGGAAATTTCGGGTTTTGAAGGGGAAATGGTCAAAATCTATAGAGTGTGCGGTAAATCTTTTTTCTTTTAGATGGGGCACCCGATTTTTTTTGGTGAGATGGGAGAATTATCTATGAATGATTGGGTTGGGGTATTGAACATCGCCTTTTCATGGTCTGAGAATAGTCATGGCCTGAAACTGAACGCTAATGTACCAATCATGACAAACGTTCTTGGGACCTGTGTACTGTGAGGAGAAGGGATCATTGTTTGTTTTTTTTGGGATGTAGGATTGCGTGGGCGAAGGTGTCTAGCCAACCTAGGATATGATGGGATAGAGCTGGTTTTCTGTCGGCCACTCTTGATTTCCCCAGAGGGGAACTGACAATTTGAGGAATCCAACGTGAATTCTTTCCTTTTTTGGGTCCCCAAAAGCACATCTAAGTATGGTGATGATGGCTCAAACTCATTGAAACCCAGAATGATTTGGTTATATAAACTCTAGGAATGACAACGAAACATTTTGTTGGTGCGTTGGAACATGACCGTCTAAAACGGTGGAAAATATATTTGTTTTTTCTTGTGTACATCTGCATCATAGTATATACAGTATATACATGATGGTTGGGATCTAGTGGGGATGTAGCCATAACCCTGGTAATGATTGTAGAGTTCCCACTTTCAATGGAAATGGTGAGGCTGGTGAGGTCTCCAGATGTCTCCAGTGGAATGCCACGACACAACCGGCAGGCCCTACAGGCCTTGTTGGATGGGGGTGCCATTTGCTGCGAGAATGGCAGCGGCGAGCTGCCATTGCATCTGATGGCTGAGTTTGGACCGGGAGGCCTTCCGCCTTGGAAGGGCCGGGTGAACTGCTTTGGAGGATGCTTTGGGGAAATGATGAGCTGACAGTCAAACTGTTCATAGTTCTAATAGTTCTCAATAATTCGTGTAATCCTACGTAGCTATGACCTATATAATCCTGATGATTGTAAAAATAATCGTCATCAGCATCATTTTCTCCATGATTCTTGCTGCTTGTGCTGCTGCTCCGAGCATCACAGACTCTACAAGTGAGTCGAAAAGGTGATGTTTCTTTTTGCCCACGTTTTAGGCTATTTGGACAGTCAGGATATGTTCGAGATGACGGGAAAAAAGTAGCGCCCGGTCATCCCTCCTGCCAGGTGACGAGTGCGATTTACCACCTCAACTGGAAAAACGCCACTTCGCACGCAGCATGCGCGCGCAGGAGGTGTTGCTGGAAGCATTGCACAGCAAGGGCTTGCTGACAGCCGCCTTGGCACATAAAGCCAGTGGTGACATGCAGAACACTCCATTGCACGCAGTGGTGCGCAATGATCACATGGGTGCCCAGCATGCAGTGCAGCTTCTGGCCAAGGCGCGAGCAGATTTGGAGGCTCAAAATGAAGAGGGCCAAACCCCATTGAGCTTGTCCATGCGCAGATGCCTGTCATAATTTCTCGAGAATTCAGCTTGTTGTTTTATAGGACCACCTATTTTTGAAGTGAACCTCCCCATGCAAAATATCAACGGTCTACATATTCACCAGATTTCACCAGCATCCAAGGATACGGCAGAACTGGGAAGGTCTGCCAACTTCTGCGAGAGCTGGGGGCCAAGGAGCCTGCAGCACTCCCTGGGGATCTTGCAGGTGCATTGGGTGGATATCTTCGACCCTTGGTGCCACCTGTGTCACAAACACCCGAAACGGTACCTTCGGAGATGGAGGTGGATGGCGTACAGCTGCCGATCGAATCGCAGTGAGTCATTGGTTGGGCAATGTGAGTTCTCACTGGCCGTTTCGTTGCAGACCGAAAAGTGGAGCAATGAAAAAAACATGGGTGTGGCATGGTGTGGTACTGCGGACGCTGTTTGAAGCCGTTGTGTTGCAAGAGATCCCTTTCTGGCGGGCTTCAACTAGCAGATGATAGATGTATCATTCCACAGGTCCGATCCAGACATGGGAATGTCTTAGACCTCAGATGGTCGTATCAGCTGGTGCCATCTAGTCATGATACCCATTGTGGTGAAACTGCTGATTGAATCGAATCCCATCAAAAAAGGTGAATTTTTCCAAGTGTTGGTAAGTATACTCCAAACTGATGGTCGAATCCACAAAATCCATGGTTTGGTTCAATTTCTCTGAAAGGGTTTCTACCAAATCCCCTGAGTTTTCGGATGACATCCCCAACGATCCGCATAGGTTACACGGAGTTTGTGGATGCCCTGGAACGTGCGGAAGAGGAGTGCCGGCAATGCGGCATCGCGGCGGCCATGGCTGCAGGGACCACCCTGGGGCAGAGCGCTCTGCAAGCAGGTGGATCTGGGATCTGGATATGTTCATCCCACTAAAAGATGGGATTTCAATGGATTTCAAGGGGATTTAACATGATTTAACGGGATTTTGATTTGGTGATTGGGGTACATCGTTCTGTTTGGAGATGTTTTGACTCGTCCCGTTTCTAAGGGTTGAAACCTATAGCAATCTGCATTTTTTTGGTATCTTATGAACAATGAACATCTACCCAATTTGTCTTTTTTGATTACGCATTGAATATGATTTTCCACCATTCTTATGGAAACCCATTGGGTTGCAAGCTTAGAAACATCATCGAAGACATGAATTTCTAGATTTCAGTAGGGTTTTGATAAAAAGAAAGTACATCCATTAGTCCATCCATTTCTTTTGGAATCTGAAATCCCCAGTGACAGGCCATGGCCTTCGGGAAGCCGCCGACTGTGCCGCTGGGGCGGCGCTACGCGCTGCCGCGGAGTTTGGCATGGTGCCAGCAGCGACCTGGTTGGGAGGGGGATGGGGTGGAGGGAATGGGGGGGATGGAGGTTGGGATGATTCAACCGATTAAATCTCAGGGAAGACGGTCTTCGGCCTTTGGTTTTGAGATGGGGTTGTCTCAAAATTATGAGATTTATTCCCAAGATTTAGCCATGAACAAAAGGTGAATATGATTTTTGCAACCATAGTGTGGAGCGGGGGTCCAAATTTGGTCTCAAAACCATTTGGGACCCAAAGACGTCGTTCTTTCGGTCGCTGTTTTCACGTTCCCTGCTCTTTCAGTTCGTAATACCCTTGATGATAGCCATCTTGATGATTGTCCCATATTTGTGGCAAAACCATCCATTTTTCATTGGTTTGTGATTCTGTTGATTACTGTACTGTAGATCTTTGGGGAATTATATAATTAACAAAACTATGCTATATAGGGTATATAGGGTGTAAATATTATATATATATATACGTATATACATTATATTATATATATAATATTATATATATATATTATATTAATACGTATATACATTATATTATATACTATATTATATATATATATTATATATATATCATATATGTAGTAAAATTTCAACTGCTTGGTGGTTTCATCTGGTTTCCGGTGGCTTCACCTGGCTTGGATGCCCGTTCTTGACACCCAGGACGCTGCGGCGCTCGGGGGCCGAGCAGCCTCCAAGTTGGCTTCCGAGCAAAGCCTCGATCGGGTGCAGGTGCTGGGTGTCATTTTTACTGGGGAAACACCAATGCAAATCAGGGGTAATGTGGGTAAAACAAATAATAATCCACCCCCCAAATCACCATAAATAGGTGGTACCACAAGTTTCAGAAGCACAGATATTTGAGATGATTTGAGTCAATTTGGATACTTATCCCTGACGGTTTTGGGCATAAAATCATCCAATCATTCACTGGGTCAAAAAAACGTGGTCTTCACCTATACAATTTGTGGGTCTCGGTTTCGAGAAAATACAGCGTGACAAATATGCTATAGAATCTGATGGATGTAATGGATGCTCAGTGATGCTCAGAGAACAGTTATGCTCAGTTATGCAGTATATAACATTTGTATGTTGGTCTCATTCATCCAGTGTAATTCACCGATTTCCTCCCGAAGTCGCGGCGAGGTGGCGGACGCTGCAGCAGAGGCTGCGGGAATCCATGCCATGCGCGCCGCGGTGGAAGCAGACTTGACCTTGGAGCAGGTGGCAGATGAGGCCATTAGGGATGGACATTGGAGCTTTGGTGACTCATCTGGGGAAATTGAGGAGTGATTTTCTGGGAGGGGATGACCTGAACATACCTCAACTTATATTCATTCCAAGCTGCGGATTATATTTGCCAATGTTTGCCATATATGATATATGGCAATCTTCACTAAACAGTTCCATATACTTGGAGGATCATCCCACTTAAGATCCAAGCTGCGGAAAGGATTCGGAGCTGTGTATTTCAAGCTGGAAAGCAAGGCCGCCATCGCTGCTTCAGCGGCGGCTGAGGAGGCAGGCAGCACGGCCCAACATGTGGCGGAAGTGAGTGCGCGTGCCGCTGGCGTGGCAGCAGGCTGGGCTGGGAAAGGGGAGAGGTTTTGATGGGAACCGAGCCGCAAGAGACATCAAAAGTCTGCCATTGTCACGTTCATTCGCCTTGGATGAGTCCAAGTCCTGTATGGAACCCAGGGTCTTGAGCGAAAAAACCGTTGAGCTGCCAGGTGAACTGGCTGCTGAGGCTGGCAACACAGCCATGAAATCTGCAGAGATCGCTGCCAAGGCGCCCCAATTTGTTCGTTCTGATGGTTTGATAAATTTAGCTGGTTGAAAGGTCAGTCGGATGCCAGTTACTCTACTTCTTGGTTGTTTTGTTTGTCCGATGGTGCTCACATGATACGCCTATTCTGGCCAGTTCTTTAAATCTCAATTTGATTAATCCGCAACTGGAAACTTTTGGGCATGTGCAAGACAAAGTCTTTTCAACTGGGATTGGCTCAAGATCAATTTCAAATCTACATGCTATATCTTTCTATACATTTCTATACTGTAAAGATCTGTGAAGATGTACCCTCTGGTGAACTAACATAGCAATGGAAAGATCCACCATTTTTCATAGGTAAAAATCCACTATTTTCTATGGTCATTTTCAATAGCTTTTTGTTAGTTCACCAGAGTTTTTCATAGTTTTTCAATGAAACTGGTATATCCCATATTATCCCATGCTATATCCACTGGGATCTGGAATATATATCTGTTTTTCAATGCTTCCAGTTATCCCATCAACAGCCGCCGAGGCGGCCACCAAATCCGCTGCTGCCTCGGGGCTGCCGCCCTACCAGGCGGTGGAGCCTACGGCCACCGCGGCTGCCAGGTGGGGAAAACGGACGGACCACTTTGGTGAGGCTTTTGAGTCGGCAGAAAATAGGGATTTTATATGAGCTATGGTCAATACTCATGGTTAATAACCATTAATAGGCGCTAGTCATCCAATGGTTCATAGGGATTCATAATAACCATTATAAGGATCCTTATTATGGATGGGATGACCATCAACCATATAGTGAGTATTGACCATGGCTCATATGTCAAAAATGGGTTGAACACTATCGATTAAGGTTTTTATCTCCAAGAAAAGTGTTGAAGTTTCGATCTTTTTGCCCAAAACTGGGATGATTGTACAGGGTTATCATCGTATTCAAGTTTTTTTTTGGATATTGAAGTCTCAACAATGCAGGTGTCCAGGCTCCAGTAGAGGAACATGGAAAATTGGACGCAGCATGACGCAGCTAGGTTATTTTTTTGTAAAAGCTGTTGCAGATTGTCTAGAGGCCAAATATCATTGTGCATTCTTGTAGCGGCTCAGGCTTTTTTCTTTAACTATTTTTTCTATACTTTTTTCTAGTACTGTAGTTGGCACAGGAATCCCTGGTCTCAACTGCTCAGCCTGAATTTGGCCAGGTCGGCTACTCGAGCCGCGCTCAATGGGGGGCATCCGTACCTCATTGTGGCAGAGATCACCAGGCCCAACGGCCCAACGCGTCAAGAATATGATGGGGGGATTTTACTAAGATGGATCCAACATTTGAGGGACACTAAATGCATATATATATATATAATATATCTATATATCTATATATCTATATATCTATATATCTATATATCTATATATCTATATAGCTATATATCTATATATCTATATATCTATATATCTATATATCTATATATCTATATATCTATGTATCTCTCTCTCTATATATATCTATATATCTATATATCTATATATGTATATATATCTATATCTATATCTATCTCTATGTATATATATATCTATATCATATCTGTATATATATATATATGTCTATATATATATATACACATCATATTTATACATTTATACATATAAATGCCATGTTTTAGGCTTCCTCTCAAAATCGTGGAGTATGAAAGTAGCATGAATATGGTTCCCCTTTCCAAGTTGTCTGTCGCAAGACCGTCAATGCCTGCCAGGCAGTTGAACTCACAACTTGTGGAGAACCTGAAGGTGATATCATTGATACCTATCCGAGTCTGGTTGGTTCAGACAGTGGGGAGTCCAGCAGTAGTCCGTCCCAGCAGTAGTCCGTCCCCAAATCCCGAATAGCTCCTTCTTCATGGTGGCGGGGTTCTTTCTATGTCGATGGTCAGTGCATCCTTTTTCATAGGGCCTTTGGATTAGCCATGGCGCAGCATCCCCGCCTTGATCCTACAGTGCTACAGGAGGTCCATCAAAATCAGCCTGATCGCGTTGCTGTCGGAGAGCTGAAGGCAGAAAGGGACTCCTGGCGTGGTAAGAGATGGGAGATGAGGCTTGGAAATGGGTGGCAATAAATGGCCAATGCTGGCAAGTTAAGTTAAGTCTTAAGTGCAAAAACGACTTCAGGGCAGATGGTCTCAGAAGGGACGCACTATGTTGCACGGGGGTCGTTCTTGCACTTTCAACCTTGCTTGGAATTGCTATGTGACTGTGAAAAACTCAACTGTTGAACCTTCTGGCTTGATTTTTTTTCCTGGGGGCAACCTGCTCTGATCAGACTCTGTGCCAGGACCTTTTTAGTCAGGCAAATATCGACATCCACGAGGAGTGTCTGGAAAATGCAGCGATGAAATCTGAATGCTTTGACTAGAAGGGTCCCTTTGAAAAGGATACACAAAATCTTCCTTCTTGAGTACCCTCTTTCTCTTTGAAGCGTGAAAGACACCAAAGAATCTTACTTCTTGGGAGGATTGTGCGAATGTGTGAAACTAACCATAACTAGCTACTCATGACCGCTCAATCCTCTGGGTTTGTGTCTGCCCGCATAGAATGGCCATGTTTCATTTTCGTTGGCAGTTAATATTTGGTTGGTTGATGTACAGCACCATATGGGGATGGGCCAACAACTTCCCGAACAATTTTGGACCCAGGTAGCAGACCGATACACGAGCAACTCACAACATTAGTTTCGGACAGACATCCAATGCTTATGTGGGTATTGTATGCCATATATATATATAACTATATATATATATACATATATATATATATACAATGATCATTGGAGGGATTCCTGTTAGGCAAATCCCTGTCTCCTAGTCACTGCAGATAGGATCACCAGTGGTTCAAATGCACCCGTTGCCAGGACACTTTGAGGCAGGTCTTCGAGGAAATGGGCGTTGACCCAAAGGACCTCACCAACATGTGACATGCCTTTTGGTTCAGGACCACACTGATGATTTCTAATGGGAAACAGGATCTTTCTGGGTGTCTCCAAACTTTCGAATGCATTGCAAGGGTTCGCTGCTGATCATACTGGCTCGTAGCCAATCAGGAGCAAGTCAGCTTCAACAGCTTTTTTCAGGCGCGATTCCTTGAAATCGTGGAAAAGCGAAGCAGTCAATGGGACATGAATTAAGTGACACTTTTGATTCTGGGTTCTGGTGTGCAACCCAGTTAGGATCAAGATTCTGTGGACAAAATGAGAGGTGCGCAGTGCCCCTCAGGCCGTGGAAAAGTCGCATGGCATTTTTATTGAGGCGCATGGATGGGCCACAGGTATTCGTTGGTCTCATCGCTTGTATGAGTCAATCTTTAAGAGCCAACAGACCACGGATTCTCATTTTTCTTGATATGAGGTTCTAGCCCACATTTTGGTGATACCCCCAATTTATTTTTGGGTGTGGCACACGTTGTTGTGATGATTGCATAATCTTGGTGTTCTTCAAGACAGTGTTCTTCTGACATTTGGTGGTCTATCCCCCAGTTTCATTCGGGATATCCCGCATTTTCTTAGTCACATACCATATTTTCTTGCTGTGTCCCCCAATTTTGTTGTTTATGCAATTTATGCATCATCCAGTTTCTGAACGTGGCTCAAGGCAAGCTTACACAGATTTCAACTTGTTTTCAGGCACATGTCGCAGCAGTTGCCTGGAACAGAGATGGAAGCACCGTCGCTGATGCTAGTTCCCGCAGACTACTCCGAAGTGTCCTTGGGGTGTAAGAACCTCAAGATGTGCCATTTGCAATTTTCCAGTATTCTGCGGGCCATTTTTAAATTTGACACAGCCATCATGCAAGCTGTGTGCCCATTTCTTCCTGCGAGAGAGCTACGAGCCTTGAGCGTGTTGATGAGGAGCTTTCGCTCTGCCAGCACACTTGCTTGGAGTGAAGATATCCTCGAAAATGAGAGAGTTCTGCTTGCCATCGCACAAAAGGACCAACCTCAGTTTTTGGCCAAGGCTATCGCAGATTCAGGGATTTGCAAGGCTTCTCTGGGAAGGCTTCTCTTGCGAGCAACCACAGGAGGCAGAGAGAATCGTAGCCACCGGTGTTGCAAGCTGCTGGGAGAATTGGGAGCAGTGATTCGCCTGGAAGATGCCTTTATGGTCACTGGTGGAGAGCCAGGTTACCATGATGGTGTGTATGTCCGTGCAGAGTGTGAAGAACAAGAATCCGCACGGTATATTGGCGATGATTGCTGTGTAGAACGAGTACCAGCATCCTTTCTTGACAACTTTCAGGAGGAGTTACGGATAAGTGGACTTCAGAGTGGACCACATGCAAATTGGAAAGAACCGCTGTGGATTTTCGTGCACGATGGAGGCTTCATTGTTGCCTACCTAGCCTTTTCTGCAAGCACCGTGCCGCTTGCTTTGGGATGGCATCCTATATACCGTTTTTGCCACTTGATAGGTGGGAATGGTTCGCAGACAATGTTCCTAAACTGCAAACGCGGCAAGTGCAACTGACAGATTTGCTTGATTCAGGGCCCACGATTACAGGACCCTTCTTCCTGGAGGAAGACAGATATGCTAAAGGTTACTTGCCACCAATTTGAATAAGGGCGTGGCCTAACTTAGAATCAATGAGAGTCAGATCGCTGTTCGTGCAGTTTGCTGAACAAGTGCAGCTTTTGAAGAAAACACATGTCACACTTTGTTGCTTTACAATTTGTTCTTGTCAGTTGCTCAATCAGCCTGGTCGATTGATTTGGGGGCTTTCCCCTCAAACGGCGAAAAACTGAAATTCCAATGGGTGCTTCGAACTATCTTAACCAACCAGTGGCGTATTCATCAGTTGACATGGAGATACATGGAGAATCCGTGAATTTTTGACCCGAGCCAGGCTGGAAAGGCTGCAGCCTCCATTGCAGGACGTGTCATGGGGCAAAATGCCGCAGTGGCAGGGGATGACCCAGAGCAGGTGGAGCTTGGGAGCTTGGCTTTGCCGCTTCAAACCTGGCTTTTACCAAGCCAAAAATTGTTATTCAACATCTTCAATCCAATAGGTGTTCAACAAACCATGTGCATTTACGACATCAAACTCGGGATTGGGGAGACCAAAAACTCATTGGTTCCCCCTGAGAATGGACCTCTTTGGGGCTTCGGAATGTCCATTTGTGATGCAAATACCTACACTGCTGCATGTCAGAGAGACGACCGGTTCAGAGAGAAAACCCTCCAAGTTTTGGTGCTGAACGGAGCTGACCCTATGACAAAAGTGAGCATCAACAATGAACCCCAACTTGGTATGGTTTGTGAAAACCAGAGAGTAAAATTGGGTCGTGATTCAGCAAACTCTGGCAGGCGGGCGAGGTTGCAGCGAGTGCCGCCCAGTCTGCTGCAAGGCATGGGAACGGCGACAGAAAACCGACAGGAAACAACCAGCAAAAGACAGTTAGTTTCAATACAGCAGGAACCCATCCAGGCATGTTTTTTGGTAGCCAATTTTCACCAATGGCCCATATTCAATGGAAATTTCAGGATCCTAAAATGTAATTAGCTACTGTACCATATAAGGCCATATTTTGTGGGGATATTCCCTTACATAGGCCTGAAAAATAGGCCTTATATATGGTAGGTACCTCCAATTTAGGATCCTGGAGTTGCCATGGCCCATATCCCTATGAACAAGATGAATAAACCCTCTGGGCTGCAGGAGCAGTGGCCTGTCCGACGAGCAAACAGCGGAGGTTGCAGTGACAGCCGCGGGACACGCAGCGCGGGCACTTGGAAATGACGGGTGAGGATGGGGTGATCACCAACCAAACATGGGAATTTGTAATCAACAAAAATGGGGATATAACTAGCAACACAAAATTTCACATATTTTACAGGCAAAAATTGAGTTTGGGATGGGTCAAAGCCTATGAAACATCATATTTTGGGGCATGAAGGTGCGGGAGCAAGAGCAATTTCATCTCCACGAGGGTTTTGTGGTTTTGACTCACAGCCTCATAGCCATTTATAACCAGCCGAAATGGGGATTTAATGGACACGACGAATGGGGAGATGGGGATAGGTCATTACTTTTTGATTTGCAGCTGCTTTCAAGACTTTCCAACCTATCTCAAGGCTGGCAGTGCAGCTATTGCTGCTGGTGGTGCTCCGGAGTATGTTGCCTACGTGGCTGGTCAGGCCGAATTTTGTTCAAGGCATTAAAGCCATTCGTGCAGTGGAGGATGATGGCTATATGGCTGGTGCGTGTCCGAAACAAGGTATCCCAAGATGAAGGGTGGGATTCTGCATTGGTTTTATGATGTTTTATGTACAATAGTTGTTGGTTCCTTCTGATATTTTGTTGATGCTATATCGAGCCAGTGGTGGTACAGCAATTGTTGGCCCTATGTTCTGCGGCCGTTTGACCAATTCTCTTTCTTTCTTTTCAACGCTTGTGTTGTTTTGCTTGCAACATATCGCCAGCTGCATGGGGGATGCTTGTTGGAAAGAACCAGTACCATTTTGGTTCCCAGCAATCTTTCCTGAGTCAAACACAGTGATGGCATGGAGTACACCATATGTATTTTCTTTGTTGGTGACACCCCCACACAAATCAACAAAACCTAACAAGAAGCAACAGGCTTGCACCAATTTTCCTGGGGAGTACTGTATTGGATAGAGGATCCACCATTGTTGTCCCATTGCTTCGCACCTTTCCCACCATTGTCCGGTCTGAGAGGCCGCCATCAATGCAGCCACCACTGCAGGGCTGAATACCCAGCTCCTGCCACAGGTGGCTGGTCCAAGATGGGGTTTGGGAGCTTCCCTGCATGGGACACATGATGGACACATGGCTAAAAATGAGAGGAAGAATTGGGAATGATGGCTTCAAACATGATTCTAATGGGAGAAAAAATTGTCTTGAACCAAGAAAGTGTGACTCAAACCGCCTTCAGCTCGATGGGTTTTTCAGCTGTTGTGATAGGTAGGGGCATGAGAACAGTTGGAACGTTCTCGGTGAACCCCAAAAATGGATGGTTCATAAGGGACAACCCCATTGAAATGGATGATAACTGGGGGTACCATGACTTCGGAAACCTCCCATCTTTCACATCGGAACACAAAAATCACCCCATTGGACGATGGGACAAACAGGAGATTGCCGTCCAGGTCATCATCCCAGTTTTTGCCAGAGCAGCGGGACGAGCTGCCGCACAGAGATCCGCGAATGGTGGGGGGCTCGGTATGTTTTTTGAGTCGGTGGAGAGATCACCAATGGATTTTGGCATCCAACATGATTTTTCAATATTTTTCATATGATTTCATGGAGAAAACTAGGGATGCGCTACAAAAAAAAACAACAACTTGATGCTTGGGTGCGTCTGAAAACGAGGTAAATACACCCAATTTGCCGCATTTGAATGGGGGAAACATGATGATAAACCATGGGATTTTAAGGTGGACCTGATGCATCCAGGTGAACATTGATATGTTCAATCCGATCATCCCGTGTCAGGGTTAGTTTTCATGAAACATATCTTTATTGTTATTATTATTATTATTATTGATTTTTATTAGTAGCACCAGGTGAATCGTCACTTGCTTCACTATTTTCATGATGATTAGTGTACACATTAAACAAACATATATGTATATACTGTATACATAGCTGTGGGATTGTCCATATTCTCACCATATCACCATGTCGTCGTTGTTTCACCCCGTCCACCAAGGCCGGGACTCCACAAAGGCCTTGGAGGTGGCGGCCAAGGCGGCCAGCGAGGTGCCAGCAGAGATCAAAAATCATCATGCCATGACGATCACTGTCACTATCATTACCGCCATCATTGTCATTATCATTGTCATTATCATTGTCAATATCACTATCACTATCATTATCACTATCATTGTAACTATCATTGTAACTATCATTGTAACTATCATTACCACTATCATTCTCTAGCATGTTTTTTTGTTCTTCTCCCCCGATGTAGGCTGGCGAGAAGCTGGCCTTCATGACGCCCGAGCACCTGGCGGAGGCGGCGGAGGCGGCGTCCAACGAAGCCTCCAGGGTCTTGGCGTCTGGCCGGGGGCACCCAACGGGGGAAGGTCGCTTGGGGCTGGATCTGGTGCAGTTGTTGGACTTTTTTGGAGACAAAGATAAGGGACAAAATGGAAAGAACATGAAAGAACACTAGATTTGAGATGATTTGATGATTTGATGACAACAACGGTTTGGTTCAAACTTGCCAACCAATTCACCAACAGAAATGATCGTGGCAAAAAATGACCGGCCAAGAAATTGGGGGGCCCTTGGATTTGTAGCGTGCTCCAAGTGTCGAGGTCCAAAGCCAGTTCCAGGCCGGGTTGAAGGGCATCCTGGATGGGGGTTTGGACCAATCTTTTCACAACACTTTTGGGCCAGTCTTTCCCCCATCAAACTAGTCTGTTGCAGTTGAAATAAGCGGGTAAAAGATCCACCACATTTTGGGGTTATGGTCCATTGTAGACTTTGGTGCATTGCACTCTCTACAGTGTTTGAACATTTGGAACGCTGAAGCAGTGCACTTTGAGGATCATCTACCATTGAAAGCGTTTGTTGTATCTCCATGAAGAGTGTGCGAGTGCATGATTCGCATTTTTTTTGTGATTTTGCGATCTCTAATTGTCAGCTTTTAGGTGGATTTGTTCCTTCACCCATTTGTTGACGCTGATTCTGCAACCATTTTTAATGGCCCACAGGTCGTGGTGGCGGCAAAGGGGTCCAAGTCTCAAGAAGTTTGGTGTAATTTTGTCTGATTTTTGGCTAGCTGGGGCATCTGAGTGTTGGGGGAAATCTGATCTGAGTTCTTGCGATTTTGTGTCGTTGCCAGGCCGTTGCCAGCAGTCTTTTTCTGATTCAACTCAAGTTCAAGGCAATCCCATGCCACCTCTGATTTGATGGGACATTCCGAGTCATTCCACCTGCACCATGTCCCATATGTCAACAAGAAGCAATGATTGCAGGCCCTGTCAAAGGCCAAAATGTTCGAATGTGCCATGATTTCAATAGGTCAATAGGTTGTTGCCGTAGTTGAGATCCAGCCCAAATCCAAACATTATGCGCCTACATTCATTGTGACACTAAGCATACTGCCGAGCATAGCAAGACCTTGGCCAAAAAAAGGCCAAGTCCATGGTCGCATCAACACTTTTGGAAAAGCACAACAAAAACATTCGAGATTGTCATCATTATCATCATTATCATCATTACACCATGATCCCTCCCAATTTCGTCCAATTTCTAGGGCCATGTCGTGGCGCAGCGTCAGCGCGGCATGGCTGTTATCATTTCAACAGGGTGGCAGCGTGGTGATTGATGTATCGGACCAGCCTGCTGGGCCCAAAGCTGGACAATTGGTGGGAGCAGGTCCCATATACCATCTGGTTATTTAACATTGACATAGCCATGGAAAATCACCATTTTTAATAGGTAAACCATCTATTTCTATGGGCCATCTATACCATGGCTATGTTAGTCATAACCAGAGAGTATAAAAACCAACTTATGGGGGTACCAGTGACACGAGAATCCCCAAAAGGTGAGATGTTTGGGTCATGGTTTGGTGGCCATCTATCCTGATCACCTTCGATGATGAGTCCAGGCATCGAAGATGTGAACAACGAACTCTACGGTGGGTTGTACTCGCAGATGATCTATGGTGAATCCTTTGAGGCTGGGGGTTGGTTGGTCGGGCCAAGGGGATCTGGCTTCCTCACGTCACCTCATACCCAGCAAAACGTTCAGGAACCCGCAGACGAGTCTGGTGTCAGTGGGGCACACTTCTGGGAACATCTCCCTGACGGCCAGCAAGGTGTGTGGCTTGGTTGCAGGTCAGTGGAGGCTATGTTGAAAAGATGTTGAAAAGAGAACCATTTCATGAGGTTTGAAAGACTTCGAAAGAGGCGCCGACTACCAGACAAGAGTCAATTCGGCCCGTAGGATTGCAAGAATAAGATACATAATAAGACCAATTAGATACATAAGCGACCCAGGGAGGAGTCGAACCTCCACATTCCGTGCTTGTCAAGCATGTGCGCGCCCCAGAGGGGCTGACAGCTCGCCAAGACGACGCCTTATCCAGATGGCAACTGGGTCCTTGCCACTTGAAAATTAAGTTCTTTCGGCCATATAATCGGAGGTGCAGCCAAGGGAAAGTTGATGGTCCAAAACTCTAAACAGATGCACTTGTGAATCTTTTGATGTCACTGTCAGCATGTGGCGCTTGCTGTCCGCAAATAGGGTCCTTTCTTGGCCCGCCATGGTCAAACCTGTAGCGTCCAATACCATTCAGGTGGTCTCGCGACTTACTGCGGCCAACATGGAGTCGCGTGGGCTGCGGTGGCAGCTACAATGTTAGCAGTGAGTCTCTTCATGGTAAGCCTGGCTCTTGTTTCTTTGGGGCACGGGACCTTCTTGCTGATGGTAATGCTGGCAATGGCATTTCGTGGATTTACATCTGTCAAGGGTGAAGCAGGAGAAACCCAGCACCAAGACAGCAAAACCCCAAGCATGTGATGCAGCTATGCCTAAAAATCGCAGTGGCGGTCGCACTCTGTGGCTTAGAGGTGTAAGTGTCCTGGAGTTGCAGGCAACCAAAGCCAGTTCATCAGCAATGGTGCCATTGTCAACTATGGCCTGGGTCAGCAAGGCATGTATTTCGTGGCTGGCAAGGAGAATCCAACTCTTTTCTGATTGAATGTGATGAATCCGCCCGAAACCTCAATGAATCGACTTCGGACGGTTGATTTTTGCATTTCTACATGTCAAATTTTTCCAGAACAAGGATCATCTGATTCCCAGCTACAATTCAGTTGTTGCTTGCTTTACAGAAGTTTATCAAATGAACATCTCATCCTGGCAGGTCTTGGTCACAGTTTTCACCACTGTCAACCCCGAATTAATACACCCTGAGTATGAACTGGGGGGATCAAAATTGGCAACAGCCTATTAATAAACTGGAGGTTACTATCAAAATCCAAAGTGAACATAACATTCTTGCTGGCAAATCCCAATTAAAACATGCAAAACTCTCAAACAACATGTGGCGACGTGAATCTCCCAAAAAATCCATTGAATCTCCATAGGTTCTCACCGTTGGATCCCTTGCAGGACTATGAGGGGTCCCTCCTTCTGAAGTCCCTGGGTGCTGCGCAAATCCGCCTGGCCCTGCTGGATGGGGATGCGGTGGTGGCTAGCCACACCTGGCACCTCGATGTCGGATGGCGGCTTGGTGATGAGCAAACATCCTGGTTTTCATGGGAGCAGATGATATTGAATTAGATATATTGTTGTATAATGATGTATAATGTTGTATATTATGAGATATAGGATGTAATAAAACACGAGCTATATCATATAGTTAGTTATTTATTACATCATGTTGTTGTATATCATGATATACAGTTCTTTAATGCTGTTTTCGAAATAGATTCAGAACGCTGTGGAGAACGACGAAACGTAACAAGGTGGCAAGGTGAAAATCAATTGTGCATGGATCGGTGAGATCGCCGAAGCACACTGCAGATCCCCATTGCGGTTGGCCACATCTTTGTGTAACTTGCCTTCTCCAGTCAGACTGGTAGCTGAAGCTGGTGAACATCAGAATCGCCAGTGAATGTCCCATATTCGCTGAAGTGGATGGTTTGTTGCTTGGATCTATGGGATCTATGGGATCTATGGGTTGGTTACCAATCCTTTCAAATCCAATATTTTTGGTGCTGAGCGTCGCCAGGTCGGTCTTTGGATTTCTGGGTTTTTATATGTTTTTATAACCTCTAATCATCCCCACATCCCAAATTATTCCCCATAACTTTGAAGCTTGGCTGGCCACTTTTTGAAGTCCGTTCCTTAAGGTCCTCCCTGGACTTCAAGTTAACAGCCAACACCTCCAGTCACTGTGCCCTGGTGCAACGCGGTGAACACATCAGCTGTATGGACACCAAGGCCCGCTAATTTTAATGGCAAAACTCATGATCCTTTGAAATTGGAAGTTGGAAGATTATTGTGGGGTCAGGTTCAATCATCCAACATCAAAAATGCTTGTCGACGATTCTTAATCTTCCAAGATTGATATTTGATCATCTTAGCCGGTCAGTTTTTTATGTTCTTTTTGCCCTCTAGAACACTCTTGGTTGCTGTTACTGGTGGAAACAAACAACTTCGAAACATCACGAATTTTATGGAGTCAACAACCTTGGTACTGCTGGGTTTTCACATCCGCCAGGAAGTGCCCAAGAACTGCTACCTCTGCAGCGGCGGCTTCCAAATCATGGTACAAGGTGAGCTCGGAGGGGTCTTGCTGGGAAGCTGATCAACTTGGGTTGGTAAATTGTTGCTGCAGATCTGCGATTTTTATCTTGGTGATTTTCTGATGAAACAACTGGGATCCTTCCCCAATCACCGATGGCCGGACACCAGGCGAAGTGCTTTTGGACCAAGCCTTCTTGCAGCCCGGGCCCTGGGGACGCTTTCGCAACCTGCCTGTGCGCCGGGATGTGGTAGAGGCCATCCAGCGGTCCGGATGGCAAACCCTGCGACTGGGAGGCACCGAGCTGGGATGGGAGGGGCAACGGGCAACGGGCAACGACGGTTTGGTGTATGAGATGAACCCCAGTCCTGGAGGCCTAACGTGGCCACTGGGAAAAAATCGCTGAGTTGAGCACCTGCTTTGCAGACGATGTTTTGGTGAAATCTTCTGCTGGAAAAGAGTTGATGGTCCCTTTGCGCTTTATATAAGTATCGACCAGAAACCCTGGTTTTTTGATTGGATCCATTCATTTTGGGGTTCATTTTGGGTTCCCACATAGGTATTTCACCTTGGGTGACAAGGGATGATAATAGAATTTATGGTCCATTCCCATTTGATGATGACCCGTGGTCCACAGTGCTGGAATGAGACAGGCAGCATGTGCAACGCTGCTGGCTATCGATGGAAGCGATTTCGGGGTCATCAACGACAGCCCTACAAAGGTTGGTGGCATCCGATTGCGTGCCTTGTCCACAATCTTGTGGGAACTTTGGAACTCTTGAGCCCACTGTTAGCCAGTTTCTTTCCAGAATTGCCCTCTTCTTTTCACCCTGTCACGGTAGTCACCCGGTAGTCCCGGTAGTCAAACAGACTGCAGTGGGAAGATAACCGCCGAATGCTGGACCCCAGTCCAAATCAATCAAGGCCGATGAATGGGTCGTTTGTTGTCAATATCTTGGACTAATGGCCCAGCATAACTGGTCGTGTTCCCAATTTTATCATTTCAGTCATTATTTATCAGCCGTCCTTGTCGTTGTCGGTGTCGTCGTCATCGCCATCGCCATCGTCATCGTCATCGTCATCATCATCATCATCATCATTATCATCATCATCATCACCATTATTACTATACTTTTTCATTGAAGGAATAATACTCAATATTATTCTTCGTGTTCTTACTGTTCTCTTATTATTAGTACAATATTGTAACTGTCCGAATTAGTTGATTTCCTAACCCTCACATTTTCACGAGACGAGACAAGTGGTTGAGACAGAGCTCGGCCGTGCAGGAGCAGCTCCTTTCGCATCTTCGAAACGTTGGAACTCTGCGAAGCAGCCGAGGCTGGTTTCGCGGCCCTTGGAAGATGGGTTTTCCCCAAGCGATGGTCGATTTCTTTGCAAACAATGGGAATGTTACCCATTTTATGGGTATATCATGGGGATATAATTCATGGTGATTTTAAGAGAGAAGATGATGATGATCCACCATTTTTTATTGGGGTAGTGTATTTTTTAGACAAGCCACTGTGGGCAGGAAATGGCCTCGAGAGCTGAACATTTCTAGCGGTTAGTATCATTGTCGCCTTGTGGTTAGTGGCAGCTTTGTGGGTGGAGGGTGAAGTCTGGATGAACAGGCTCCGTGCGGTGTTCATTTGGATGAGTTTCATTCTAATTTGGATATCCCAAATCAAGAAAACTGATTTCCCCAGAATGGTGACATTAAGAAACGTAGGGAGCTACCATCACTTTGTGGATGCCGCTTGATTAATCAACCAGGGTGCAGGGGTTTAGTCCGTCAGGTGCAGTGCGTTATCACTTTGAGCAATGAGGAGTCGCCCAAAGACATGGCAGACTTCCTCGAGTGCGCCGGAGTCGCGCCCGAAAGGGGTTTGTCCCTGACAGATGAACACTTATGACATCCACAACCAACAAGATGGGTTGGGTTGGTCCGAAAAGGAGGGACAATATATCGGATAGACCACTTGATCGCAATTCTCTGTGTGGGAAACTGATGATCGACCACTTGATTCACTTGATCTTGTGGACTCACCGGTGCAGCACCGGAGGATGAATTCCCGTTGGATTTGACCCATTTGGGGTTCCAATTGCAAGTGTTGCTGGACTTGTGTTTGAATGGTTCTAAGCATTGAAGGCTAATCCTTTCCTCATGAAGATGGTTTCAGATTGCCAATTTTGGGGTACCCCACATATCCGGACAAACCCGAGTGGTGGGAACAATTTTCAGCACTTCTTGACCAATGGCTTCGGCTTCTTTGCTTCATCTTCGTACTTTACAATGTCGGGATGCCCAGACACTAGCAGGGTGGAGCAGACATGTCGCAGATGCAGCTGATTGTCACTTTCTCGTTAGAACTTGATGGCAAGCGTGACTACATGATGATTTACTTGCCAATTGGTTTGTTTGTTGTTAGGTTTACCACATTTGTCACATTAGTCCTCATTGCTGGTAATGTCGTGCCTTTTGTTAAGCTTGCCCGACCAAGGTCATGAACTCCCAGGAGGCCGATGTGATTGCTGAAGATATTGAACAGTCTTCCAACAAAAGAGCACGGAGAAGCGTGTATACTAATAACTATTAGCATATAAAATGCTACTTATAGTGTATAGAAGGTCTTCAAAAACGCTTGCAGTGACCCAGTTTGTACGCTCTTAGTGACTCCAGCTTTTACGTCATTAGTGATACGCTCTCAAACCACACTCTCGAGCAACCCTTGTGACAGATGTTACAGCACTGCATGTTCATCCCCAACCTGGCAGTTGCCGTAACGTTCTGCGCAAAGAATCTTAGCAACCGGAAATCATCATTTTGAAGTGCTGAAATTAGCTAGAGATGATGGATTTTCCATGACCATGTTTCTTGCAATCTATTGGGTTCTCTATCTCTTGCCTTCCCACACATCTTGTGGCACGATGAAAGCTGAAGAGCTGTTCAAAGATGGTTCCAGGGAATTCTGGATCAGACCGTATCCATGGCCCCCTATCAAAGACTCTTAGTGATCTTAGTGCAGTCCTTCCGAACAGTTTCTTGTACTATTACAATTCAATGCATTCTATCCTTTTTCCGCTACCAACCACAGGGAAGCTGCGACGAAAACCTGGGAGTTGGGAACCTCCCAGGTACTGTTTCGCTTCCAAAGAGACGACTTGGGGATTTCAGCGGATGAGGGATGGGCCGCTTGCCATTTAAAAAAACCTCCTGTTGCCAGATATTTATATATATATATGTTATGTATATGTATATCGAATTGGGCGCCCCATAGCCAATGGCTTTTACCCAAAAAAAAACATTTTGCCAAAATTGACCGAACTCGAGACTGTGCAAGCTTTCGAAATGCCATGGGTTGTTTGACTGGGGATGATTTTTGCAAGTTTATCTCATCAGATTTCAATAGATTTCCAGGGGTTTGTTGCCTATGGAGGGGTTCCTTAGGAGGCAGAAGCCCTACCAGATGTTCACTTTGGAAATTGGCAACGAGCAGAAGCTGGAGATGCTGCTGGTGCAACAGGTGCAGGGCTCGGCTACAGCCACCATAGGTCGCCATAGGTCACCATAGCCATCACGGTTTATGAAACCACCGGTTTATGAACACATTGGGAAACTGCAGAAAACCCAGAAACCCTACATATTTCGTTGCCAGGTGCAGGCAATAGCAGCTGCCATGCAACAACGTGCGGAACAGCTGCAGCTGCCTATGCCACGGCTGGTGGTGGGGCAAAACATTGCCAGGCCCGGGAGGGTCGCAGGGCCCAAGCGACTTCAACGGCAAAGGGAAGGATTGAACCAACCAAAACAAGCCAATGGTCATTTTTGTGGAGAAAGCTATGGGCAAGTCTCACCAAAATTTGACAGAGATGGTCTTTGTATGTTTTTACAATGATTTCAGATTTCAGCAACAGATCTTGTGATCTTGGTAGACTTCACTGTGCTTTGTTGGCAGCTCGTCACTGGTCAGTGCAAAGAGATGGAAACAGAAAAAAAATTGGGCGGTGAATCCATGGATTCTCCATGCCAGCGATGTTTGGAGGGTGGCTTTCCGTCAAAAAATGGTGACTGTCTTGGGCGAGTTGTCTCAGGCAGTTGAATTTTGAGGGACAAGGCCGACGTGTGACTTCTGCAATGTTTCTTGGTGCCGGCAGGTAATGTAGTGTTACGGTATGTTGCTTGTTTTGATCAATTGGATTTCCAAATATTTCCATTTAATGGATAAATTGATAAATTGATTAATGGACATGGAAAAAAACATGTCCAAATATCCACTATGCCATCACTATACGAACCCAATGCATGCTTTGTTGGCTGTATCCCCATTCCGGGTCATATGGCCTCAGCGACAATAGCCCCCAACTGGTCAAGCAGCCGCAAACAGCTGGTAATCAGGTAATTGCTAATTGTCTATATAGTCTGTATAGTCTATATTACGAAAGCCAGCTAGCTGGATCGTTGCTGTCTGCGAACAAAGTGAGTATAAGGGGGTCGGGGGGAGGGCTTGCCCAAGTGGGCCAAAATCTCGCTATTACTTGGGGAGAAGGGTGTGTTTTGGGAGCGTTTTTCCGGGTCATGTACCATGCGGCAAAAGGGTGACGGTAGGGTATCGATTCCCCCTAGGTCCGCATTTTGGGGAGCCTTTTGGGGTGCTTGGCAGAGGAGCCGATGTCTGCGAGAAGGGGGAAGGAGTGCTAGCACAGATAGGAAAGGTAAGGGTAAAGGCGCCTTTTGCCACTGCTGTCGATGTTGGTGGAGGAAGGACAAAAGTCGCCCGGCTCGAGGGTCTTTGTCGGGCACTGTGATGTCAGATGGGAAGGTGTTTGTGTGAAGGAGGAAGGAGGGCTAGCGCATAATGCGAGGTTTGAAGGCGTAGACATAGCAGCTGTCACAAAAATTAACCACCAAAAGTACCGTGGAGGAGGTACATAATGGCCTGTGAAGCAGAATGTAGAGCATTCCTGACAATTCAGGCCGGGTTCGCTTATATATATATATATATGTATATATATTTATATATATATATTTTTACGAAAGCCGGCCGGGAAGCTGGCCAGTTGTTGTTTGCGAACGAAGTGAAAATAGGGGGTCTGGGGGGGGCTCTGGGTGAAAAGTATATGGGTGAAAAGTATATATGGGAAAAGTCTGTGGGTGAGAAGTATATGGTTGATCCGTCTTTGGGTGAGAAGTATATGGGTGAAAAGTATGTGCAAGAAGAGTTTCTGGGTGAAGAGTCCCTGGGTGAAAAGTCTGTGCAAGAAGATTTTCTGGGTGAAGAGTCTCTGGGTGAAAAGTTTATGGGTGAAAGGTATATGGGGGAAAAGTCTGTGAGTGAGAAATATAAGTTTGATCCGTCTGTGGGTGAAAAGTATATGAGTGAAAAGTATGTGCAAGAAGAGTTTCTGGGTGAAGACTCTCTGGGTGAAAAGTATATGGGTGAAAAGTATGTGCGAGAAGAGTTTCTGGGTGAAGAGTCTCTGAATGAAAAAAATATGGGTGAAAAGTATATGCAAGAAGAATGGGTGAAAAGCGTTCCTGGGTCAAAATTATGTGCAAGAAGAGTTTCTGGGTGAAGAGGCCTGGGTGAAAAGTATATGGGTGAAAAGTATGTGCAAGAAGAGTTTCTGGGTGAAGAGTTCTGGGTGTCTCTGAGTGAGTTTCTGGGTGAAGAGTCTGGGTGAAAAGTAATGGGTGTGCAAGAAGAGTTTCTGGGTGAAGAGTCTCTGGGTGAAAAGTAAATGGGTGAAAAGTATGTGCAAGAAGAGTTTCTGGGTGAAGAGTCTCTGGGTGAAGAGTTTCTGGGTGAAAAGTATATGGGTGAAAAGTCTGTGCGAGAAGAGTTTCTGGGTGAAGAGTCTCTGGGTGAAAAGTATATGGGTGAAAAGTACGTGCAAGAAGAGTTTCTGGGTGAAGAGTCTCTGGGTGAAAAGTATATGGGTGAAAAGTATCTGCAAGAAGAGTTTCTGGGTGAAGAGTCCTTGGGTGAAAAGTATGTGCAAGAAGAGTTTCTGGGTGAAGAGTCTCTGGGTGAAAAGTATATGGGTGAAAAGTATGAGCAAGAAGAGTTTCTGGATAAGAGTCTCTGGGTGAAAAGTATGTGCAAGAAGAGTTTCTGGGTGAAGAGCCCCTGGGTGAAAAGTATATGGGTGAAAAGTAGGTCCAAGAAGAGTTTTTGGGTGAAGAGATTCTGGGTGAAAAGTCTGTGCAAGAAGAGTTTCTGGGTGAAGAGTCTCTGGGTGAAAAGTCTGTGCAAGAAGAGTTTGTGAAAGAAATTTCATTTCTGTGGAAAATCTCACATGATGCATTTGGTGGCAGGGCTCATCTGACCTGTTTTGATCGTTGTGCCATTTTGGCCTCAAGATGAGATAGAGGTGTAGGTGAGCCCCACATGACGTTTGAAACGTTGGCTGTGGTGGCGCTCAGAGGATTCATTGGATTTCTGCCAGTATAGTGAGCAAATTTGTTATCCCTTTGCTACGGATTCCATTTTGTTCCATTGCCTTGATTGCTCAACCTTACACATTACCTTGTCAGTTCGTGGATGGCCAGACAGGTTCTTCCCACTGACACCGAGTTAGCTCAGATTACCAATTTGGGTGAGGCTCGGCAATGGGCAGGCTTGGCAGAACCCACATGGACCGCAGTCAGTGCTGGCCTTGGAACTTTGCCATCCTTGCGAGTTTTCTCCAGTGTGTCTTCCTCCTCTTTGCGATCCATACTGCAAACTGTGCGTGTGACCGTAGCTGGCGTGGAACGCGAATTGACGGTGGTAGAGTCAATTCAGGTGGCGCTTATGTGGAGAGTGGCAAGGCAGGCATATCAGTTGGAAGACGTCGACCCTCTTGCAGATCCAATGACACCCACGTCTACACCTGCGGCTACAGCAACAGGTGGAACAAGCCCGGCTGGAAAGAGGATCAAAACCTCGTCAGTGCTGGACCAGTTGGACGAATCCGAGGTGCAACATTTCGCATCAGCAGAGCTCGATCAGGCTTACAGAAATCATTCGGAGATTACAGGTTCGGATCCACCAGAGGATTGCGAGCCCACACCAGAACAGATAGCAGCTCTTCACGCCAAAGTCATTGGCCGGGGAGAGGCGCCATACGCGGATTTTTCTGTGCTCACTCCGTTTGGACGTCGAGCTCAGCGCCAGATGAAAGCAAGGGCATGGACACTACAACAAGATGGCACATTCCGGGCACTAGATGTGCCCGGGCCGCCATCCTTCGAGGCATGGTCTGCATGCTGGAAGGTATATCGTGCAGCCCTCTTCATGCTCAGGTATGCGGCGTTGGCACCGAATGCGGCCAAGAAAGTTGTTTCGACGGCTTGCTTGGAGGAATACTACGAGAAGATAGTGCGCCTCAACGCCGAGTTTCCGGAAGCATGGCACCTCATCGTTCAAGCAGAAGACAGATGTCGATCCGAGATGTTCGAGAGATACCGACGCCAGTTGGTCAAAGCGGCAGCAGATGGAAGACTTCCAATGGGGCTGGACTTCGATGGCTCCACACCGTGGATCGGAGTTTTCTGTTTTGCTGCGCGAAATGGCACATACTGGGGCGAATATGTCACCAGACCGGCTCAAAACTTCATTGCTCGAGGCGGAAAGCATATGACCGCCGACCGTGCCAGTGCAGTGAATATCCCAGATGCTGCCAAAGAAGCCTTGGACAATGTCACCACAGCAACAGCTCCTGCAGATCCTCCTCTTTCTCGGCATCCTCCGTCTCCGGGGCATGGAGTCTCTCGTGCTGCAAAGAAGAGAAGAAGAGACAGGGAGAAGACCAACGCTTCTGGGTCACCATCAGCCACAACAAACCGAAAGGGAACTCCCTACCAGAAAGCTCAGGGAGGCTTGTATTCACACAATGCGGACGGTGCAGAAATTTGCTACAAGTTTGCCAAGGGCCCATTAGGGAGTTGCCCAGAACCTTGCCAAAGCCAACGAGACCATTGCTGCCAAATCTGCTTGGGAAGACATCCGAACAGTCAGTGCTCCAAATCGGCGGACAAGCCCCCAGGCCATGCCAAATCGTCTGGGAAAGGTGCTCAAAAGAAATGACACACCGCAGATTTGGAGCTTCAACTGAAATCCGAGGAAGATTTGGAGCCTATGTTCAAAGGCCCCAGGAAGTTCAAGTTTGTCGAGCTATTTGCTGGCATGGCAGGTCTGAGCAAAGTGATCACAGAACTTTGTGGCGATTGTGTAGATGTGCTAGACCCTTTGGATGTGTACGAAGATTGGGATATCTTAGACGACTCGCACTATACAAAATCCAAGCAGTTGGTCGATTCAATCGATTGGATGCACCTTGCTTTTCCCTGCAGATCATTTTCAAGAGCCAGGAGAAGCGACGAACATGGCAATGTGGAAGTGGTGCGCAGCGAAGCTCAACCAGATGGGTGGGGGCATCCAGTCGCCGAAGAAGGAAATGCAATCCTGAAAAGATCAGCGGCCTTGGGTTATCGTTTGTGCGACGCAGACAAGTTTTTCAGCTTCGAAAATCCGGAGTGGTCTTATGCTTGGCTCACTACCGTCATGTTGAAGTTCATGAAGTACACGGGGCAGTCGGTCCACGGGTTGGACCAGTGCCCATATGGAGCGGAGACAGTGAAGCCGACCGGCCTAGTCACTCAAGCTCCGTGGCTGAAATCAGTAAACCTGAGGTGTGGGCAAGTCAGGCCACACCGCCACAGAGAAGAAGGGCTCACAGGAAAGACTTGGGACCCGTTGACCGAGCAGATGGTGTGGAGATCGTCCAAGGCTGCCGAGTACCCTACGGGACTTTGCATTGCTTGGGCCATGTCTCTGAGAAAGTGGCTGTGCTCAGAGGCAGGCACAGATTGGTTGGCAAAGAGAACCCTGGTCAGAGTTGGAAAATTTTCAAATGCCTTGATCAGGGCAGATTTTCTTTCCCAGAGCACGTCAGACACCACTTTGTCCTCCATGCCATCCTCTTCAACTTACTTGTCACGCGGTCAGATCAGGGAGCAGGAAAATGTGGAATGTGTAGGGGGCCTAAGGGACCCCAGAAGAGCTGTTGCTAGGAGCAAGCCGTTACAACTAGTTGGGCAGCAGCTGCGTGCATGTTTGGATCCTTTGCTTAGCAATGAGGTTCTTGAAGAATTCGAAAACGCAGACGGACAGCTTTTACCAAATGACTTGATTTGGGCAGCCCGGCAGAGACTGGCACAGACGTTTCACACAGAGGTCTTGAAAGAGGGCTACCAGAGCGAGATCATCCATGCTGTCCTGTCAGAGGCAAACGACCCTGATACTCACACTTTGCACGAATGGCTGACATCTGGTTTCCCACTCGGCATCTCTGAGGGCATCTGCAACAATGGCATCTTTCCAAAAACCGACGAAGTTTCAGCTGCTATCAAGGCATCCCAAGCCATGGGGGAACTCTTGGCAGACTGGGATGGTTCGGCAAGAAACTACAGATCATTTGAAGAAGCCGGCAACAAGGCTCAGCACGAGTTGGACCGGCTGGTGGCTGATGGCAGAGCAGATAGAGTGAACACTTGGGAAGAGGTTGTGGAAGTTGTCGGAGAGGAAGCAAAACTAACCAAGATGGCATGCATAGTGAAAATGAAGGGCGGCCAAGAGAAGGTCCGTATTGTGGTTGACATGAGAAGATCTGGAATCAATGGTCGGATGGTCCTCCTTGAAAGGGTCGTTTTACCTAGAGTTTCTGATGTAGCCATGTCTGTCCATGAACTTTTGAAATCCTCAGGGCACGGGAGCACACCGGAATTTTTCATAGCCGATTTTAAAGATGCCTTTTATACCCTGAAGTTGATGGAATCTGAACGGGCTAACACCGTTGTGAAAGGGAATGATGGTTCCTACTACATCATGAGATGCGTTTGTTTCGGCCTTGCATGTGGACCAACTCTATGGGGGAGGATGGCTGCAATGGCTATGCGAGTGAGCCAAGCTGCCCTGCCACCCTCACCGCGGAAGGGCGGGTTCAATGTTATGTTGATGACCCCATCATTATTGGAGTTGGACCCACGCGTAGGGATAGGAGTCGCATCTTTTGTAGGTACCTCCTTATTTGGTGTTCGTTCGGGTTTACAATTTCTTGGGGCAAAATCTCTAGAGGCACTTCGGTTGATTGGATTGGGGTTGCTTTGTCTCTGGTAGGAGAGACAGGGAAAGACCTCCAAATTGTACTCCCCCCTGAGAAAACCGCTAAGTTACTTGATGCCTTTGGTAAGCTGATAAATGAAAGTAGGAAGGGAATGGTGCCCGCCAGCCTGCTGCAGGCCACTGCCGGATTAATGGCATGGGTGGCAAACGTGATTCCTATGGCGCGACCTTGGGCATCAGCGCTGTGGGCAGCTCTGACAGCATCTCGGACAAACCCGGTAAGGGAGACCACTAGGGTCCGGAAAGGGCTGGTCTTCTGGAAACAGTTGCAACATGCAGTGTTGCCACTGATGTCCATGATGCAGGTTGCCACATCGCATGTCCAAGTTGCCCAAAGCGAATCTGTTTCCTTCTGGCCATGTTTGCAAAAGGTTTACCGTTTTCTTCCTGATGTACCACTGGCGGAATTGTACACGGACGCATGTCCTAGTGGGTTAGGGGCGGTGATTTGTGTAGGTACCAGGCCTGTAGGGTTCTGGATGCACAAACTGACTCCCGAAGATGCCTCTTGGATGGGACCTAGTTGTGTTCTTGGTGACCCTGCTTTTCAAACAGAATGGGAAACTTGGTGTGTGCTCCTGGCCATTAGAGCGTTTTGTGAATTTTTTCAACAGGGGAAGATGAGGATCTTCCTCCGTAGTGACAATGTAGCAACAATTCAAGCCGCACTCACTTTCAAAGCCTCATCACCAGTGGTAAATTTTATCGCAGGTGAGCTAGTTCTAGAACTGGAAGCGTTAGGGCAAAGCTCCATCGAAGGAAGGCACATTAGGGGAATTCATAACGATTGGGCGGACTCCCTGTCGCGAGGGGTGGTTCCCGCTGACTTGAAGTGCATTCCACAGTTTATGTTGCCTGACAGCATGAGACTTCTCAAACGCGTCCAGCTGCAGATTTGAGGCTCGACTGCGCAGGAAAAAATAGAAGCGTCCGCCATGTTGCTATGCCTGATTGGTGTGCGAACTCCCGTTCATCTTGGGTTAAGCTAGGCACAATTAAAAGAAAAGCTTCTGGAATTGTCGGACCTGGAAAACCAAATGACGAGGGCGAAATCCCAATAGGAGTTAAGCGTGCACGCGAAAGGCTTAACTTGCCCAGTGATGGTTCCGGCGTCAGCGAAGTTGCTGGTCCCAGCACAGATGTTCCGGTGGTTGTCCGGGAGGGGAGAATCACCAGCACACTGGCTGGGCCGCCTGTGCAGAGGCTGAGAAGGGATGCCCCACCTGTGGTCCCGGGAGTGGGAAGCAGATGCGGCAGACCGACTCTAGCCAATGCACTGCAGCTTGCTGGCGATGAAGGAGCAATGCAGTTGGCACTAGAGCAATTTGAAGATTTGCGATATGCGGCTGGCACACTGGCAACGAAAGATGCTATGTTCAGAACTTGGAAAGAAGTTTGTGAAGCCAGACATTTTTCTTGTTTGCCTGTTACGTCTGCAAAGCTTGTCGAGGTGGCTGCAGTGCTCAGGGCAGCATCATATAGGTCTGGTTTTTCGTATTTGCTGGAAGCAAAGCAACGGCACGGTCGTGCTGGCTTCCCTTGGTGCGAAGAGCTTGAATACACTCTCCGAGACTGCAAACGGGCCTTGACCAGAGGCATTGGTCCGCCAAAGCGATCCCAAGAAGTGAGATTGGAATGGCTCGACAAGATGTGGTTGGCTGAGGGTCGCAGTTTCACAATGCCCACGGATGGACGGGGGCCATTTGGGGGTGCACTGGTTTGGGCGTTAGGTATTCATTTTGTCCTGCGAGAACTTGAACTAGGGACGCTCACCCTGCATGAAGATTGCGTTTCAGTCAATGCTGCCCGCCGCGAAGTGACGCTTCACTTGTCAACGTCGAAATCTGATCCCGAAGGGAGAGGGTGCCAAAGGACGCTAGAGTGTCTCAGCAAGTTTGGTGAGCTGCATGGTTTAGAATGTCCTTTTTGTGTTGCACAAAATCTGATCGAGGTTCAGGTTTTCCGCACGGGAGTGAGGCAACAGCTAGAGGCCGCAAAGCATTTGCCTCTGATAGGTCAGGCAGGCTCCCCAGGGAGCTTTGTGGATAAGACCAGCATGATAGAGGCTGCCAGAGCGGATGCTGCAAGAGTAAAACTTTTGGTTGCGGAAGCCAGTGAGGTGAACATTGATGGCATCACCGGACATTTCATGCGGCGGGCTGGTTGCAAACGATATGCCAGGAAAGGCTTGCCGCTTGAGCTCATAAAACATATGTCCAGACACAGCTCAAATGCAGTGGAAGGATATGTGGAAGAAGCCATGGAAGAGTGCCCCCAAGCAAAATCACGTTTGACCGAGTTTCTGCATGTGCAACACTGCCTGGAATCATTTTCGTCGAAGTTGAGATGGCTGGAAACCAAGTTTGAAGATTTGAATGTGGCGCATTCTCAGCTGAAATTGAAACAGGATGTTGCTGCAACTTGTGATGATAGGATTGATAAGCTCTGGGAGCACTTTCAACCTGAATTTGTTTTGAATACCACGACCAGAAAGAAACATAGTACGGTCGGATGCAATTTTCGAAATCCACCGGCCTTGTGGGTCACAGCATGTGGATGGAGATGGGCCTTTGCCGGAAGTGGGGCCAGACCGTTGTCCAGAACCGAACTGGATGACGAATCCTTCGTTTTATGTGATCGTTGCAAGGTATGTATAGGCTGATTGGCTGGAGGTGTGAAAGTAAAATGGTTGTGTTTTGGCCCCTTTTGATGGATAACTTGTTTGTTGCGTGGCTCCTGTTTGGACAATCATCTGCACGTCTGTCGTCACTCAGGAAGACAGAGAAGATATGAACGACAGCGAGATGAACCCCAGGGACCTGGCGGCACCGGGAGAGGTGACTGGCCAAATGAGGATGGCTGACACTGGGAGGAGTGTTAGGCCATCCCTCTTCACTTCGAGTTTGTCTTGTTATCCAGGTTACGGTCAAAAGAGGCACTTTCAAACTTCCGCCATTCTGTGAGAAAAGATTTCCAGATTAGGGTTTTGGTAGGGTGGGGGTTGAATGCAAACATGAATTGAGATTTTGTGAAAGAAATTTCATTTCTGTGGAAAATCTCACATGATGCATTTGGTGGCAGGGCTCATCTGACCTGTTTTGATCGTTGTGCCATTTTGGCCTCAAGATGAGATAGAGGTGTAGGTGAGCCCCACATGAAATCCCCACCCGACCCCCAAACTACGCGTTTGTTCCCTTTGGATTTCACTTTGGACCCAGGGGTTGTGTTTTGGCCCCTTTTGATGGATAACTTGTTTGTTGCGTGGCTCCTGTTTGGACAATCATCTGCACGTCTGTCGTCACTCAGGAAGACAGAGAAGATATGAACGACAGCGAGATGAACCCCAGGGACCTGGCGGCACCGGGAGAGGTGACTGGCCAAATGAGGATGGCTGACACTGGGAGGAGTGTTAGGCCATCCCTCTTCACTTCGAGTTTGTCTTGTTATCCAGGTTACGGTCAAAAGAGGCACTTTCAAACTTCCGCCATTCTGTGAGAAAAGATTTCCAGATTAGGGTTTTGGTAGGGTGGGGGTTGAATGCAAACATGAATTGAGATTTTCTGGGTGAAGAGTCCCTGGGTGAAAAGTATATGGGTGACAAGTATGTGCAAGAAGAGTTTCTGGGTGAAGTGTCCTTGGGTGAAAAGTATCTGCAAGAAAAGTTTTTGGGTGAAGAGTCTCTGGGTGAAAAGTCTGTGCAAGAAGATTTTCTGGTTGAAGAGTCCCTGGGTGAAAAGTTTATGGGTGAAAGGCATATGGGGGAAAAGTCTGTGGGTGAGAAATATATGGTTGATCCGTCTGTGGGTGAAAAGTAAATGAGTGAAAAGTATGTGCAAGAAGATTTTCTGGGTGAAGAGTCTCTGGGTGAAAAGTATATGGGTAAAAAGTACGTGCAAGAAGAGTTTCTGGGGAAGAGTTTCTGGGTGAAGAGTTCATGGGTGAAAAGCCTGTGCAAGAAGAGTTTCTGGGTGAAGAGTCCCTGGGTGAAAAGTATGTGCAAGAAGAGTCTCTGGGTGAAGAGTCTCTGGGTGAAAGGTATATGGGTGACAAGTATGTGCAAGAAGAGTTTCTGGGTGAAGAGTTTCTGAGTAAAAAGTATATGGGTGAAAAGCATGTGCAACAAGAGATTCTGGGTGAAGAGTCTCTGGGTGAAAATTATATGGGTAAAAAGTACGTGCAAGAAGAGTTTCTGGGTGAAGAGTCTCTGGGTGAAAAGTATATGGGTGAAAAGTATGTGCAAGAAGAGTCTCTGGGTGAAAAGTATATGGGTGAAAAGTATGTGCAAGAAGAGTTTCTGGGGAAGATCTCTGGGTGAAAAGTATATGGGTAAAAGAGTTTCTATATGGGTGAAAAGTATGTGCAAGAAGAGTTTCTGGGTGAAGAGTCTCTGGGTGAAAAGTATATGGGTAAAAAGTACGTGCAAGAAGAGTTTCTGGGTGAAGAGTCTCTGGGTGAAAAGTATATGGGTGAAAAGTATGTGCAAGAAGAGTTTCTGGGTGAAGAGTCTCTGGGTGAAAAGTATATAGGTGAAAAGTATGTGCAAGGAAAGTTTCTGGGTGAAGAGTTTCTGGGTGAAGAGTCCCTGGGTGAAAAGTATATGGGCGAAAAGTCTGTGCAAGAAGGGTTTCTGGGTGAAGAGCCCCTGGGTGAAAAGTATATGGGTGAAAAGTACGTGCAAGAAGAGTTTCTGGGGAAGAGTCTCTGGGTGAAAAGTATATCGGTGAAAAGTGTGAGCAAGAAGAGTTTCTGAATAAGAGTCTCTGGGTGAAAAGTCTGTGCAAGAAGAGTTTCTGGGTGAAGAGTTTCTGGGTGAAAATTATGTGCAAGAAGAGTTTCTGGGTCAAGAGTCTCGGTGAAAAGTATGTGCAAGAAGAGTTTCTTGGTGAAGAGTTTCTGGGTGAAGAGTCTCTGGGTGAAAAGTATGTGCAAGAAGGGTTTCTGGGTGAAGAGTCTCTGGGTGAAAAGTATGTGGGGGAAAAGTCTGTGGGTGAAAAATCATTGGGGGAAAATAGGGGTAGATGGGATGCTGGCTTTCGTTCCCCCCTTCTCAGGTGTGTATACATTGTTTGTGACATGTTCATTGACTCATCAATGTATTTCTGATGACAATTTGGATGGGATAACATGTTTTGTACTATCAATGGCCATCTTTACGATTTGGATTGGCTAATTTTTTCATCCGGCCAGTCCTGTCGAGGTTGGAGGTCTTGAAGGCTTTCTCCAGTGCATGGGATGCACATATTGGAGGCGTTGCGCTGGGAACGTCCAGGGAGGAATCCGTCAATGGATAGCTTCAAGGGAAAGTTTAGGGAGAATTTACAGGAACCTAGGGGTTTTGCCATGTTTTATCATCAACGATGAAGGTTTTCCAGCAGACACAGATTCCATCCCGATGGAAGATGGGATAAGCATCCCAAAATCAGGGCTGTAAGATCCCTTTTGACAGGGTGGGTTTGCTATTGTCAGATTTTGTCAGCACCATATTGAGAATATGACCAAACTCTTGAGAGCCTTCAGCAGACCGCTCGTGCAACAGCATCTTTCTCCTGGGTGCTGGCTGAAGGTTTCACCAGAGGCCTCTGGATGCCTCTGGTAATTTAACATAGCGACATAGCTAGGGAACATTAGGCCCAAACATGGCCCAAACATGGCCCATGATGATTGACCTATGAAACATGGTGATTTTTCCATAGCAAAACAATCAGTTGACTGAGTCCCAACAGCACCTGGCAGGCGATGCCTTTGAGGACGTGGAGGATTTCAAGCAGCTGCTGAACGTGAGCTCCAGCTTCTTCCAGTGGCGCACTTAGTCCTGGCTTTGCGAAAAAAATAATATTTTGTTCAACATGTCCCAAGGGGAAATCCAGCATTTGGGGGAATCTATTGTATAAGGAATCTGTGACAATATGTGTTACTTTTGATGGGGGGCCGTTAAAAGATGCTAGCAAATCCAAGTAGCGACTCGATTCGGCTCAGCGTGGAAGTCGGGAGCGGATGCCAGTCGCCAGGCAATTTGGCCAGACCAAGATGGTGGTACTGGAGGAGATGGAGTCAACTTGTGAGATCTCCAAACCACTCCAGAAAAGGAAGTGGTTTACATTATCAGATCAAACTCCAATGACTTAGATGATAGATGGAGGAATCTGTAGTTGGTGTACCAGTCTTGAACGATAGCCGCAGCCAAAGTCAACTGTGGTTTTCACCTTTTCCTTTCGAACTGCTGCAAGTCGATTCTTGCTTGGAACATGCATATAGCAAGGCGCAACTTTACAAGCCCTCGTAGTAATCTGGTTGTACTACAGACAAGGGCACAAAATCCATGCGCGCATGCTGAGCGACGCACTCAGGAACAGCGCTTTGCTGCTCCCCCGGCACAAAAGTCGCACATGCAAAATGAATTACAGCCTCTGCAATCGCAGCATTCATCTGTGGTGGATAAACTTTCGCAACTGAAGTGCGAAACGATCCATCTGGTCCACGGCCTTTGAGTGCTGTATGTGCACCAGAGGCGTGAGGGCATCGTCCACCACGGCCAAGCTTCAGGAGCGCCTCTCTCAGGTGCGGCAAACGCACCAGAAGTAACGTTGTTGGCTTCTTCCCTTCGCAGTGGAAAATGCATTGATCGAATGTTGCGATAGACACACAGTTAAGGCGCCGCAGCCGGCGGACCGCAGTTAGGGTCCATGTGCTTGCAGGAGAGTGTTTCATCGCCCAAACTGGAAAAGCCGGATGTTCCAAAAATCCGCATGCCCCAGTCAAAGAACAGTAATACATCATCTCCAGCAAAAAGCGCATCAACGCGGTTCCCAGAGCAACCTGATCCCACTGTCTTGCAGAGTTGGACGGCAATCCACAATAGTCCGAATGGGACCGCAGGGGGGGGGGTCCCCCCTCCAAGAATCTGGCTGCCGAGTAAGTCTCACAGGGGGGACCCCCTCCCATCCCCAGGATAGCTCCATTGCACACCTGGGTTTTCCAGAAGGCCAAACTCTTGGTCGACGACAAGTCACCTTGGCTGCCTTGCAGGCAGTAATCGATAGAAATGCAAAAAATGTGATGAATACCTTGTACCCAGTGCTGTTCAATTTGCGATTGCAAATCGCCTTCTCGGCGAAATCCAGAGAAGAAGTGAATAAAACACATTGTGCGAATATGCAAACGCGCATACAGAGTTGCAAGGCCTCGATTGGAGAATCGACCTGCATGCCCATGTTCAGCACCTTGGTCAGAATGCATCACAAATGCCATTTCAACGGATATGGTGGCAGAATCTTCCTGTGCAACAGGCACAGGGTCAGCGGGATCTGCCCCGATGCATATGCCGTCCAGGCCCTCAAAAGCATGAGCAGCGCTGGATTCAGTGCGTGCAGCCCACTTATCCCACATGAGGTTGGCTTCAGCTGAGCCTGGAGGCGGCAAAGGAGGTCCAAAACCATACAAGGCCGGTGTTTGGGCCTTAGTGGCAAGCCATCCCTGATCACGCATCGCTTTTGCATGCAAACGATCTTCCGCTCCTAACATCTGAATGGCATCAACAGATAAAGGCGGGAAGGCAGCCCTTGTGCGTTCAAGACATGCAACTGATGTGCGGAGATGACAGCAAAGCCGAACTCGGTGATGAAAACTTCTACAGCAGTTGGCACAAGTGCTGCCGAATGCATAATGCTTGACTAATGTTACATAGTCGTGCTTTTTCACCGCATGTTGTGCAAGGGCTCTGCGGGAACTAAACTGCTCCTGACACAGCTGACACTGCCACTGAACAGGCTGTGCTTTCATTTGGGGGGAAAAAGCAGGAACTCCATCACGGGTCAGGGAGTTTTGGAGCCATACGTCCCAAGCTGCCTGCTTGGCATTTTCGGCACGATACCTACGGCAAGAGTTCACTGCCCGCCGAAGGCGCCCTTTCCATCGAGTGCCGATGGCAGCAAAACTACACCAGTCATAGATGTGAGTGGTACCGGAAAGGCCGAAATGCACTCCACTAAAACGGCACAACCAATGAAAAGATTCCTGCAACTGATCAAGCCAAGAGCCTGCCTGGAAGGCCGTGGCATGAAGCAACTGCCACAGAATGGGCGGACAATGCTGCAACAGGCGCTTGAAATAGCGTAGCCGAGCCAAATGCAACATGTCACTGGGCGCAAGCAAGTTGCATAAGCCGCATAAAATCTCAACATCAAAGGTGAACGGAGGTTGACCACGCAGGAAGGGACGAGCAAGAGCATACAACATGGGCCGAAGCCCTGCTTCCCACTCACTCATTTGTGTCTGTGACACCAGGCCCCATGTGTGGGCATTGAATAAATACCGTGAGAGGACCAATGATTCAAACACTTGGGTCTTTGTCCTGTGCAGCACCCCTTTCTTGGATAGGAAGGGACGCACCAATGGCCCCCAAGCCTGCCTTGCAGCGTGTAGGCGTGTGCGAATGGCTCGCAAGGGCTTTGCATCATTTTGGACCCATGTACCTAAATGTTTATATGACAAAACAATAGGCAATGGCAACGGCTGATCCCGTTCTGGGAGGGGAATGGAAAGAGTGCCGTGGTCATGAGCAACCTGCGTCTGCAGTTTCTTTTTTCCCCCACCACGCAAGGCCCAGAGCAGTTCTGTCTTCCCTTCACCAACTGTGAGCTCCAAGCCACGACAATTCGCAGCTTGAAACACAGCTCCTGCAGCCACATGGGCAAGGTCAATCAGCTGCAAATTGCTCGGAGCACGCAGGAGTAAAGCCAAGTCATCCACATAAGCCACTTCTGCCCATGCAAAAGGTGCCGGGGATTTGACGTCTGCGAAATCGTGGACATCATCAGGTGCTCCTTCCCAGACAGCTTGGCTGGGCCGGATATTCTCAGAGACATCTTTTAACAGGGCCGCCATGACAATGTTGAATGCAATGTCACCAATCGGATCACCCGGTCTGGTGCCTCTGGTGGTGACAGCAACCTCTGATAATCCCTCCATCTCAAAGCAAGTAGCCTGCAACATGTCATGTAGCAACCGCATAGCATGTGGCGCAATATTGGCAATGACTGCTTCGGAATGAGCATGTTGCAGCAATTGCTCCACATGTTGTGGATGAATCCCCAACCGGCGCATTGCAATCATAAAGGACGTGGCATCAATGTCTTCCTGGAAAAGCCCTTGCCGTACAACACTATAGAATGCAGATTTGAAGTCTACAAAAAGAATGGCACTCGGGTGCTTGTGGATCTGTCCATACGCCACATGAGCTTGAATGATGTGATGGGCGGAATCACATCCTAAACCCTTTCGACCACCAATTTGGAGGTGCGTTAGCACAGACGACCAAGCTTGCACAAGGTGCTTGCGAAGTACGGAGTGGTAAATTTTTGTGGTAAAATTGTTCAGAAAGATCGATCGATAGCCTGTGGGATCGCTTTTGGCCAACTTGCCTTTGTGAAGCGGAATGAGCTTGCCTGTGCGCCAAGCCGCTGGCTCCCGTCCATGAGCTGCAATTTTGGTGGTTAAAACAACCAAGTGCTGTGCAATGTCATGAGAGCCAGCCTTCAAAACATCAGGTGGCAAGCCATTGGGCCCCGGAGCTTTCCCACGCTTCAGCCGGTGAATCTGCTGCATAATCTCAGGCAAATCTGGAAACACTGCAATGGACATATCATCGTGTGGAACACCCAAGCAGGCAGGCAAGTGCCGGTGAAATTCACTTCGGGCCATGATATTCCCAGCTTCAACATCTGCAAATTGTTTCATCCAAAGCTTCTGTTGGTCCACGAACGACCGGACAGGAACTCCTTGAACCTTAAGGATAGGAAGCGCCTTGGCATCGGCTTTGGCAGATTTGCGGCCTCCAAGCCTGGTGAGCAATTTGTACAGGTGACGAGAATCATGAAGCTCACCTGCGGTCGCAAGTTCCTGTACTAAATGGTTATAAAAGTCACGCTGATCATGCCGGACTCGCAGGCGAACGTCCTTCTCAAGGCATTTAAGTTGATCACGGAACTGGGCATCTTGCATCAGCGAATGGGCACGACCAAAGTCGAGACAGGAACGTTTGAACTGAATGAGATTCCGAGTGGACTCAGAAAGACGTGGACGCATCCTGTCATGGGATGTCTTTTGAAAGTGCTGCTTGGCAACGGCGAATAGTTGGCTCTCCATAATTTCAGCGTGTGAGTCAACATGGGTGCTCCAGTCAGGAATCGGCAATGAGCGAACGGCGTCACGGAACTGATGGCACTTGACGGGATCAGCAAAGGCCAAGGGATCCCATTGAACTTTGGTACTGCCTGGAGAGTCATACAGCCATCCCTGACATTGCATGACTACCGGATAATGGTCGTCATGACCAAAACCGCCATCAAAGTGAATGTCGACCCACGTCTTGGAACACCATTCAAACGCTGTCTTGGAACAGGCCACATAATCTCGCCGAAGCTGAGACCCTCTGGGATGGGTCCAAGTGCAATGAGAACCCTGGTGTGCCCACGCCATGGTGGCGGGAACGTACCATTCCATGTGTTGCAACACCTCTTCAAATAAGCGTCCTTGAGCATTAGAAATCTCCGCTCCATGCATCTGAAAGAACTGCGTGGATTCAGACGCAAGCGGGGCGTTAGCATCAATCATGCACCATGTCAAGGAGGCCAGGCGGGCTTGCTGCAACAAGGCCTGGGTTTCCTGCCACCACGTTGCAAGCTGCTCTAAGGAGCAGGAATTGGACTTGCACGGGACATGCAGCACTACAAAAGAAATGTTGATTTTGGGGTGAGACAGATTCACGACCAGGCGACGCGGATCAGCGACCACAACGACTGCCTTGAACTGCGAAAAAGTCAGGTGTCGTTCATCATCAAGAGCCATATGTTTGTGCAGCCATAGTTCACAACCATAATGCTGTGACTTGCCGCAAGTCTGCGCACCTGAGGCAAAACCAACATAATGTTCGGTTTGAATTCTGCCCTCTTCTCGTCGAGATTCCTGCAAACCAATGGCAGCAATCCCTTGCGCATGCCATTGCAGATCCAGACGAACGGCGCGATCGGCAGATGTTGCTTCAG